CATTGGGCGCCCACTGGTTCTCATTTTTGGATCGTGTACTTGACCTCCGTTTATCAGCGGGATTGAACGTCTCCCTGCTCTTATAGAGGAATATCGTTCGAAAGTTGATTTTTTAGTAATATACGTTCAAGAAGCCCATGCCACTGATAGTAATTGGCATATGAAAAGCATGAAGTAAGTACGCTCCGGACGTCGATAAAGATATAATTACATCTTCAAACTGCTTTCAGGTAGAATCAAGGAAAACGATTCTTTTACATGTATTTTGATAGTTTTGTCAAGTGCAGGGTTTACGGTGAAATGCAGAGCTTGTACACAAAATGGTTGCTCTGCAAACAATATGGTCTACAATTTGCTGATATGTTGTTTTCAATAATTATGAATTCGTTATGTTGCTATACACAATTGCTCTCGATTGCGACTCCCGGGACAGCAATAGATATACAAATTTGTCTTATTTTCTATTTGTGAATTAACATTGTATACATTCACAGATACCACATTTCCCTCCACAAAAGTCTTCAGAATCGTCAGTCCGCTGCAGAAAATCTTAAAGACTACTTTTCGTGCCCTTTGGTCTTGGATGGAATAGAAAATGAAGCAACGAAGCAATATGGTACGATTCCGGATCGTATGGCAATTATCTACAACGGTTGCTTAGAATATATCAGTGCGAAAGGACCTCTGGGATTTAATGTGGATGAAATGCAAAAAGCTCTGAATAACATATTGCAACAATCTGAGTAGACATTAACGTGGTGTGATATCGTTCAAAACACTTATTATAGATTGATTGTGCGTCGATATAATAATGATCCCGAACCCTTTCTGACGACAAACCGACTCTGTTACGATGTTGAACTTTGACCCGTCTTAGTTTTTTAAAGAAATGAATCAAAGAAAATATGGGTGATGGTAATTTCCTTCTATATTACCAACGCATCTTGCTCCCAGAATCATGATATAAACTTTCCAAAATTTCACGCTTAAAACTGATGACACGTACGTTAAAATACAACAAATAACAGTTATGTGCGAAATGTAGAACTAAAAATTTTTGCCCGTCGATTCCTTGGCATTAAAATTCATAGAGTTCGATCGAAACTAATGTTAGACCAACTGATCTACGCTATGTTATAGGTCAGGGATGGCGAACCACTGACCCGCGGGTCACAAAGTGACCCACCGAGTTTTATTCGTGACCCACCAAGGCACGAATAAAAAATGCTAACATGTCAGTGATAAAGTTGATAAAACCGGCCTTAAATTAATCTAACAATAACTTAAATATTATAGTGTACCGTCAGTTGGGCAGTCAGGGCTGCGATCTCTCATATTGGTAAATTCCGGGCCGGTATGGTAATTTTCAAAACCCCCAATGTTGGACGCATGTCTGTACCGTTATTCAGTATTGGCTCTGACATCGTTTATTACATAACAATGCAATTGATTGATCGGTTCATTTCTCGCAACTTATTTTGAAAGTGCATCTGCAGACTGTTTTAGGGGTTATGCGAGAACTAGATGCTACTTTTTATTTCATTAGTTAGTAGAAAACAAAATCTTCCAAATCTCCAGACAAAATCCCTGATAGAAGTGCTGCACGAGTAAAGCACAAATCTACACCAACACCAACAGAAGCTTCTAGGATTTAAGAAGTTTCTTATAGATACAAACATTGATTAAATATATGTGACCCAATCTTTTTTGTTTCGCGATAAAAATATAATTTTTGACCCATTTATTGAAAAAGGTTCGCCATCCCTGTTATAGGTTAATAGAAGAAACAAAATATTTAAATACTTATTTTATTATGTGTTGATCGGTTGGCGTAATTTAAATCACTTCATATATATGGGCTATGTATTTATTTTTGTACATAATTTATTAATAAAATTATTCTATATATATAAAAAAATAACTAAAAAATACTGGCTAAACAGTAAATCTGCATTATCTCGAAATTAGGAGAATATCATATTAATTAAAACTTTTTAGTGGAAATGATACGAGAGAACCAAAAATTATGATTTTCATTAGTTTTTACCGAAATTGAGAACAATCCTTTTTTGACGACAGTCTGAACGGTCAAAAACCTTAATCTGTTTTATGTAATATTATAAATTATTCTTCCTAAATAATTCTACAACTTCTTATTTATTTTTTCATTATAGAGTAAAGTGTTAATTACAAGAAATGGTATGTATAATAACAATAAATATGTTCAGAATTTATGACGGTACAGAAGAAAATTGCTGAGAGCAGATTTCTGTACCAGAGAGTTTTTCTGAACACGTTTGCTGTTGCTATACCAAGATCATTTCTACTACGCAATTGAAATATTTGTAATTTTAGTGAATTAAACTTATTCATTGCATCAATTTATTCAAATTAGTTGATTGGTGGAGGAAAACCACAGTATCGCCTGAAATTTCGTCATAACGTACCGTTGTTTTTAACAACTGATGGTGAGATGATCGCATGCTTGGTGGAATTTGCGAACGGCTTGCAAAAGCAATTTGAGACGTATTTTCAGGGCTAGTTGGCATAAAATTACCGCAATTCAGACTACTTAGTGCAGTAGTTCTCAAACGTTTTAAGACGCGCTCTTTTTTGAGAATTTGTCAAGTCTCGCGCCCACCTCAAAAGTAACTAGCTAAAAATAAGCTACAAATAACAGATAGTAAGACGAAAGTAAGTTTTATTCAAAAACACGTTAAAATTACATGAATGGAACGTAAATATCCAGAATAAAGAAATTCGAATATTCAAAATAAGGCAGGCAAAATCAAATCTAACAAATGTTTTTACTTTTAATTAGTTTCACGTCCCTCAAAAAATTGTCTACACCCTACTTGTGGGACGCGCACCATCGTTTAAGAACCACTGAGGGTCAGTGCGATTAATATGCTCAATATTTGGGAGCGCTTGGTTCAATTTTTCCACAGTAGCATCTTGTAGTATATATTTACGGTAGCATTTGTTTCTGCACCAAAGGAGAAGTGGTACTGGTCGAATAATCCTTCAAAATGGATGATTCCCCATCTTTGGCGCCAAACTGACAATTACTGGTTAAGAGTTTTATTAGTGATGGAATGACAGACTTTTGGGCGGTTTAAATTTCGTTATTCGCTCTATTTTCGCGATGGTGGATCGCAGTACTGGTTCTAAAACTTTCAAATTTGATCGATATCTTGATTTAACATAAGTTATTGTAAATTTTTTTACAAGGATAAATAGAGAAAAAAGGAAGAAGAGTAACTATGGCTGGTTTCGACATTAATTGTTACCGGTACCGCAACCCACATCGAGCCCTTCCGCGACCCACTGGGGGATCGGGGCTCTCAGTTTGAAAGCCCCGTTTATTGCAATACATTTTTCTCCTATACACGTCCATACACATTGCTAATTTACCAAACACATACGACCTAATCACGCATCTGAGTCAGGTACGCAACCCTGCTCGGGGAAAATCATTTTGATTCCATGACGTCATGCTATGGTGGTGAAATGTTCGAATAAGGCGCGATGTGTGGCTTCCTGTACCAGTACAGCAGTACCTCCACCAAAGCTTGTATTGTGGCCGGGTCATGCTTTCTGGTTGAGTTTTACATGGAAATTGTTCTATTCATCTTGTATTTAAAGTGGCCCTAGTAGAGTGAGGTACGCCTATTTTATGTAATGTGATAGAATACCGTATAATGCCCTGTGAACAGGTTTTAGCGCTTGCGAGTCACAAGGCAGCAAGACCAACTGGTGAATGCAGATGTTTTTGCTATCTCTGGATCTGGATGTGCCCTCCGTTTGCTGTTGTTTTGTTCTACTGTTCTAGCCTATGTCAGAGTGACCAAAATAAAATTGATTGATTGATAATAAAATTGTTTAGACAAGAATTTGTAATGGATTAAATTTTATAGTCTATTTTCATCCTTTCCAGACATTTAAAATACAGAAATGAGGCATTATCGGATTGACTTGGTCATTATTAGCTTAAGCCTTGAGTGTTTTAAAAGTATAACATCCCGAAAGTTTATTACAATCATGTATTTTTGTTCGTTTATTTCTGCTCAAAGCCCTGAAGCCTGGTTTAACTAAGTTCTGAAGTTTGTGTTTTTGTCATTTTTATGTGTTTGCTGGTGACAGGGTACCGTACACACAGACACAGGTACATCTGTACATGATATTTCCATGTTTTAAACTTTTTTCAAAAGTTTTTCTCATTCTCCCGAATTCTTCCTTCTTAATTATGGAGTTTTCAAAATAAAATATTTATTGGACTCTATAACTGTATAAAGACAGAGTAATATGGATTGTTTTGGTAGAAACTGGAAAGGGTAAATTACTTTTGTTATGGTTATTGTGTTTCATTTGAAAGTTATGCCTGTCTGCCTGCAGGTGCCTGTATGAGGCAATCGATTTAAAATTTCATAAATTTTCATCAAGATTGAAAAAGGCACTGGGAAGCGTTTTTGAATTTTCTGTAAGGCATATCTGGATATAGAAGTTCTAGAACCAAATTTTTATCGAAAATTAAAGTTGAACACGTATTCTTTTGTATAGCGCAAATGCCTCTATATTCCAGTATTTATTATATTGCTTGTTTGTCAGTCTTTTAAGGCCAAATCTGATTACCAAAGGAAAAATATCTTACCATAGTCCATAGCATTCAAGAGTTTTTGGCAAAGAAACAATTTTGGTCAGATTGATTTAAATTATTATCGAGACAATCGTGGAATGATCTGACGTGTTGTCGTGGCAGATGCCCTCGTATCAGAGTTGAATAGAGTGTTTTTTTTTATTGTCCCAAATGTTGGGGCATCTTGAAATCTGAGAACTGTGCCCTACTGTATGTTGATGAGCAGCCTTTGTGCCCGTTATGCAGTAGTTTCTATAAATTTGAGAATAGCTCACCTAGGTATTACTAAAAGGTAGTTGCATATTCACCTACAGAAAAAATTGAAATCTTCGCTTATGGAGTTTCCTGCTGCTGTGAGCTAAAAACTAAAGAATTTTATTTCAGTATAATAGGATTTTGTAAATTTCGAGGGCTAGCATAGTTTTTTTTAGTTTATTTGCAACTCTGGAACTTCAATTTTAGGAATAAGCTTACAAACTCAGCAAAATGGCGACTCTTGTGGAAATCTTGGATAAGACTGTGTCACCGGGTAACTTTATTGCTATAAATATTATTTCTCTAATTAAGCTTGTATTTTGAATAATCATTTTCGTGAAATCATGGCTCGATGATTGGCGCAACATTCACTGTGTTAGGAACAAGCTTTCCATCGCATCTGTGATTAACCTGTGTGAATTCGAATGGTTGAATCTCGTTTTACGTGGGAGCCGGGAGGATTGCTGGACTCCTCACTTCTGTAGTGCTGTAGTGTAATTCACTTGACCACCGGTCAGTTACAGCTTTCCCACTGTCGAGCTCATGCATCTGAAACAAATAACAGGTTATCTATTTCCATATCTGACTTGTACAGGATGCACCATATGATTAGTCGATATTACCACCTATCCTTCATTGCACCAAATATGAAAATCGTATTCCTATCCTTTTTGCAAATTTCTGAAATTTAACATTTATTGATAATAGTAATAGTTTATATATATATACATCTGTGACAGAATTTAGAAAAAAAAACTGGGGAAATTTAGAATATGAAGTTTTCCATAAAATATTGTATTCATATTCTTTTTCAGACCCAAATGATATTAAGCAGGCACAGGGATTTCTGGAACAAGCCGCACAAAGCAGTCTTGCGGAATTTCTGGTCAGCTTATGTCAAGTTTTGGCAAACCCTGGAAACAGCCAAGTTTCGAGGATGGCTGCTGGTCTGCAGGTAATTGTCAAATATTTTTTAGATTGCTGCGCACTAAAAAATCAAAACTGCGGCACACTTATCACATAATAAGTTTTCAAAATTGTACAATCTGCAGATGTTAATATGATGAATGCACATTTTTCTGTTCATAAGCACACATTCATTTCGTCCATGTACCAAAATCTGCAAAGCCATGAATGTGAATTACAATTTACTTCTGATTGATGCTATATAACAGTCACACTAAACACAATTGCTACTCTGCTAATTCAAAAATATCCATGGCATCATAATAATGTTTCGTGTTACACAATTTGACATCCACTTTCATCGAGTGTATGTTTTAGATGAGTTGAATGCTCTCAACTTGAATCTGAAAAAAGTTTGATTAGATATTTGTTAATTTACATAAATTGTATCACCCTTCATTTATATTTTCAAGATAAAAAATTATACAACTTCAAAAGACCAAACTGCCAGGCTCGATAATCAGAAACGTTGGCTGTCTCTAAATGAAGCAGCTCGATCAGAAGTTAAAAAACTGGTAAGTATGACCTTTACATTAATATAACCATTTTCCAATGAAGTGATGGTTTTTATTTGAAATGTTTCAGGTGCTAAATGCATAGTGTGGGAATTCTGTATGCAGTATGAAATAGAATTTAGTGATCAATCATTTTATTGCTATTTCAGAATGTTTTTAGGAAATAGAATAACACAAGCGTTGGTTCTCTCAAAAGGGGCCCAGGTCTTTTCCACTCATGATAAGTTGACACAATACTAATATTTAATATAATATCTCAGGTTCTTCAAGCATTGGGCACAGAAACTAACAGACCTTCATCAGCGGCACAAGTAATTGCATCAATCGCATGTGCTGAAATACCTTTAGATGGATGGAAAGAGCTTATTCCTCAACTTGTGCAAAGTGTGACTGCAGAAACAAGCACTGAACATTTGAAGGAGGGAGCACTGGAGGCTATCGGATACATTTGTGCAGATATGGTAATGTGAATGAATATTTTCATGGCACTGTATACTGACATGCAATGCATGATGCCCAGTTGGCAAATTAGTAATAAGCAACTGTTTGGTTTAAGAACTTGTGACTCACAGAGAAAGCTATTGTATGTCATATTGGTGGTCCTGTTTCCTGGTGACTATTTATTACTACTGACAACTGTACTATTCTGTTGCTTGAAACAACATCATAGATCTGAATCATGGATATCTCGTTGCTGACACTATCTTGTCTATATTACATATGCTTATTGAAATATATATAAGGTTACAATCAAAAGACTATGATTAGTCGTGCTGTGGTTAATAACAGCAGGCTGAATTAGTGTTACAATTATTATTATGATCTGAACTTTCAGAATTTTTCCCTCAAATATTTTCAGTCGCTAAAATGGTTGGCTGTTAATAACTTTACAATCAGTGCACATACCAGACAAAAGAAAAGACAGTTATGTGGAATTGAGTATTTTTATACCAATTTGTATATACTAACGTGTAATTTCATCTTGTAATTTTTATATTTTTAGCAGCTCTTCGCTTTCTAGTGGTCAATTGTAACTCTGCAATCAAACCTTTCAATTCCTAAGTGAATGCATGTGATAACCTTTCTTAAATTAGTACATCATGATTAAAACTACAGTTTTATTGTGGGTATTTTTTCACCTCCAGCTCCAAACTCTTAGGGAAGGCAAATTTAAAAATATAAACTGTGTTGTATGCAAGCCTCCTTCAACGAATGTTTGGAATGCTTTGTCAACTCAATTTTTTTGAGTTTCTATGTAAAAATTTCGATTGCCACCAAGAAATGTCTCAAATTCCGACTAATCAAAATCTGATAAAAACAAATCAAACTAGACTCCATGCCTCATATAGCTCCAAAGCTCTCGATAGGACACAAAATAATCTTTGTCATTATTTTCTTCTGTGTCAGGATCCACAACACCTTCTTACTCATGCAAACGGCATCCTGACTGCAATTGTTCAAGGAATGAGAAAACAAGAACCAAGTTTTCATGTCAAACTAGCAGCTACCAATGCAATGCTCAATTCGTTGGAATTTACCAGAGGAAATTTTGAAAAAGAAGTAAAATATTGTGCATTTCCCACTCAAATGACCATACTATAGTTATCCAAGAATTTGTTGTATAATTCTTTAACTAGTACAGTGCATGATAATTGTAATTGCTGTACTTTGTTATGCAATTGAGGGTTTCCAAAAATTCCCAAAAAATAAAAAATAAAATGATTTTTGTTTAAAAATTTGTTTTTAAAACCTTGTTAGTTAAGATTATTTATACATCTTTGTGCTCTGAGTCTTTTTTGCTCTTTCAGGCTTTTGCTTTCATCACATTTGTTTGACCAATTTTCTTTTGCTTTTTTTCAGTCTGAGAGGCATTTTATCATGCAGGTCATCTGCGAGGCAACTCAAGTTGAGGATTCCAAAACTGGAACTAATTCAGTATGTTCAATTTTTGATTTGTAACACAATTTTATATAGGTATACTCATATTTGAATAAAAAACTCCCTAAAATATAAAATTACTTGATAATAAAGACATCAGCGTATGCAAGCTTTCTTAATAGACTGTCAGGGAAATAACAGAACTTTATTGTATCAACATGCTTGACCACATCTTCTATGGTTTCCACTGATATATACACTGATATATGACAGTTCCCTCAGTGTTATCAAACGTTAACTGTACCAGTACTGATGCCAGACTTATTTGAGCATTGCTCTCCTGTTATTCCTATCACTCATAAGTCATAATAAATAATTTCCATTATAAATATTGTGAATGTTTTGGTCTGATTACTTTACCAGACACTTGTAATCACACTTGGGGGCAAATGAACTTTTCAAATATATTTGGTATTATTCTTTTTTTTCTATTTTTCATAGATTCGTGTTGCTGCTTTACAATGTTTGGTTAAGATCATGTCTCTATATTACCAATATATGGAAGCTTACATGGGCCCTGCTTTGTTTGCAGTAAGTACATTTGGGTACATTTTTCTATTATTACATTTGTTTTTATATGATTGCAGACAATGGTGTTTCTAACAATGGTTAAATATTATTTATTATTATTATGAGATGCCTGTTTGAAATATTCAAAACAGGCCGACTTCATCTCAGTGGAACAGTATTCGCATCCTAATATATATGAAGGATTATAGATAGGATTTTCCTATATATTCTTGGGTATAAGAAAGCCGGTCGGACTGCGTAATCAGCGTTTTTCAGTCTATGGTCGTCTATATCAGTTATCGTAGCAGATGCTTGGATTTCATGGTGGTGGACTCCGTAACTGGGAGTTCTCAATTCGTAACAGCAATTCTCTTGCATATTATTATCCGTCACAGTATTCAAGCCTGCGAACCCACGTGGGGTAATTATAGCTGCATTCGCAAGCTTGTTTCTAACATACTGCAAAATATGCCAACCAGAATATTCTCTAGTCTTTAGGTGACTATATTTTATATCCTAAACTTATGAAATTGTTTTTACCTTCTTTCAGATTTCTGTCGAAGCAATGAAATCAGCTGATGACAATGTTTGTTTACAAGGGATTGAGTTTTGGTCGAATGTCTGTGACGAGGAATCTGACTTATCCATTGAAATGGCAGAAGTGAGTAGCACTATCCAGTATTGGGAAGACTCTAGACTGAGAACTGCACTTCACTATGATACTGTTTAAGTTTCTTAAATCGTAACATTTATCACCAATTTTGTCTTTCATTGCGCAACATGATGCACGGTGTTATCCAGTGTATTATTCAACAGATTTTCAAAATGTAATTTAGCATACTTATGCATAATGTCCCTTTTGTTGAGCATAAGGTAAAACAGCAGTAATTATGATTCCTTGACTTTCTGAACCAGATCTTTTGTAGCCCTAATAATTTCAGAGAGTATTTGGATATCGTGTATTGAGCTTATCTCTGTGTGTTTCCACACAGGCTGATGAAATGGGACGAGCACCAGAAAGAACGAGTAAATTTTATGCAAAAGGAGCTCTTCAGTATCTTGTACCAATTTTGACTCAAATCTTGACAAGACAGGTATTTTTTGTATTTCAATCTGAGCTTTGATTGGTGTGATTCAATATTTTTAAAGACTGAAAGGCAAACACGAATACAATGCTTTTTGGGTGTATGTTGGAAATTTTGACATCTTCAGAAATATGAAATTATGGCTATTGGCTAGTTAGAAATTAGAATTTGGACACCAACTCTGGTGAAAACATACTGAACTCGGTTTCATAGTCCTGATGTAGGCAGAGCAGATATAACTGTCTATTCAGCAGCAATTAAACTTGATTTTAAGACCTTTAATAAATCATCATTTGACTGCAGAAAAGAGCAATTTTTTTATGTCCAAACTATACACTTGGTCATAATTTTCTCAGTTTATAGTATTATTTTACAATAATCTTTCATTTAGGATGTAATGGACGACGAGGATGAATGGAATCCATCAAAAGCAGCAGGTGTCTGTTTAATGCTTCTTGCTACATGCTGTGAGAATGATATCGTGCCTCATGTTGTACCTTTTTTGGAGGAAAATATCAACAGCCCGGACTGGAGATACAGAGATGCCGCTGTTATGACTCTGGGTGAGAAAGAGTTCAATTTTTAATGAGTTTCTGACGGATTTCCAAACACTTCACACCAGAAATTTCTTTTTGTATATTTATTATTTAACTGTTGCAAAAATTGTGATGTTTATTTTGATCTCTTAAACTGGACTTGCAACTGTATAGTCTAAAATACATGTCTCAGCAAGTGAGATAAGGTAGCCACAAATGACATTTTTTGAGAATTGCGGTCAATTGGTCTTCATTTTCAAAATGTTTTTGATGTGTGCGCTAATGCATTTTGCTATTTTTTGTAATCTTATTTTTGAAAATTTTTTATTGTTTTCATTGTATAACTAAACGTATTTCTGAAATTCCAGGTTCCATTTTGGAAGGACCGTCACCTGACCAACTGGCTCCAATCTTAGAGCAAGGAATGCCAACTTTCTTTACGTTATTGAAAGATGAAAGTGTTGTGGTTCGGGATACAACTGCTTGGGCTATAGGAAGGTTTGTGTTAATAACGTTATGTTTCTAGTAATTCACACATATTTTTCAATAGTGTTGTTTCAATTTTTGATTGAAAGTGACAGCTAGAACGTGTTTCATACGCCGGATACATTTTTCTCAAATACGATCGAAAATCGGGGATGTGCAGTTGAACAAAATTTACAATCGACTATGGCACCTGACTCTTTTGGAAAATTGTTGCGCCTCTCGACTCGCGATTATTTCCGACTCCCAACCTGAGGATGTAAATACTTTTGATTTTGACATCAGCTCCAAACTTCGAGGAAACCAAATTTCAATAACAAAGCTTTTGAATCTTGAGTAATTTATAATTTTGACTCACTTTTCCAATTCTTCAAGTTCAAAAATACGACTCCGACTCCACTGTGGAGTTTAAAAAATACAATGACTCTAGTGAAAACAGCACTGAGTTATCATTGTAATATAGGGTTTAAAATGTCACATTACATAACATCTTTTCGTGAAAATCACACCGGAATCACATTTTTTACTGCCAAAATTCTCTAAAATTTGCTGAATCGTCGAAAATAAATATCTATTTTGATGACAACAATCTTCAATTTTCTTCAAATAAAATTTTTCAGGCATTTTTGACCATCACTGTATATATTACCCAAATTTGATGTTGTGATGAAATTTAAGTTACCATGGATGTTAAAAAGCTGGTATTTTCAAACAAACTCAGATTAGCCCACGCTGTGCAGTGCAGCGGAGCTGGCTTGAGTAGCTAACTCAACTCAAGAGAGTATTTATTTTCAAAGTAACTCGAGTCATCTTAATAAAATTACTCTTCTCATCATCGATAAACCACAAGTGAGACTTAAACTCAGTGATTGTGTCAACTTCGGAATTGGATGACCTGTGACTCAAGCTCCATAATTCAATGTTAATAATCTACTATTTCAGAATCTGTGATCTGATTCCTGATGCTGTTATCAACGAGAAATACCTGATGCCCTTACTTACTGCAATGGTTGAAAGCTTGACTGCGGAACCAAGAGTGGCAACCAATGTTTGCTGGGTAATTTCAATTATTAATTTTTTACACTCATTCACACTGAACAATACCCTGTATCGAGCAGCTACTGATATAGAATTCGAACCTGGGTGTGTAATTTTGTACGCATCTTGTTAAGCTGCTCTGAAAATTAAACATACTGTCGAATATGGCAGACCAATATGCCCTCTACCAAGGAGACCATTCAAAATGGAACCATGTAACTTTGTTGACTATCTGCAGAGAATAATATCATGATTCACTATTTTTCAGGCATTTTCATCACTTGCCGAGGCTGCATATGAAAACGCTTGTAACGAAGCGTCTGGTGAAGATCCGGAGACATATCCAATGTCTATGGTTTACGAGAACATCATCGAGAAACTTTTGAATACAACAGACAGACAAGACGGACACCAGAACAATCTGAGAAGCTCTGCATACGAAGCTATTATGGAAATGATCAAAAACAGTCCACAGGACTGTTACGATACTGTTTTGAAAACTACAAACGTCATCATGGACAGGATCAACCAACTTCTAATGATGGAGGTTTGAGCCGGGGTTTTCTACCTGTATTCTCTCATTACTTATCGATCTAAAAAGTCTGTCTGTTAGATGCACGCGATATCTCACGAAGGCGTGGTTGAATCTGCTCCAAATTTTGCATGTGCAATCATCATATCTCGCATCAGAAGCCTATTGATTTTGGATGAATTATGTCGTATAATTAGCGAGTTAATAATTAATTAGTGATGGGACACATGGTGTCACTATGGAGTAAGAGCGCTGTTTTGGGGGATCCCCTAACTTTCCGTCGATAAGTCTTCGGTCTCTGACCGATATTCTCATTTACGTCTCATTTTTTTTTTATATTTTAAATTTACCAAAGCCCATATTTGATCATGGTATTAGATAACCTGTTCTTAAAGTAGAGAAAATTTAAAATTTTCGATTGTCAAATTTACCTCTGGGTTTGATATTTGATAATAAATATTTTGACATATGCTGGCCCAAAATCGTCCTTATATTTCTGAGAATATTTTAACTTGTTTTATCACCATTGAGAACCTGAATTTTCGATTCCTGTCTCTAGAGCAGTGGTTCCCAAACTTTTCATTCCCGCGTACCATTTTTAATTTTGTGCAGCGTTCGCGTACCACCTAAGTTACACTTGACTAGAATATCTCAAACCATAAACTATGCACCTGTAGATAAGAAAACTGAGCATGTAGCAGCATTAAGATTTGACAAATGTCATTCCAGAAAGAGATAAAAACCATAAATTAAACAAAATGAAGCCAATTAAAAATTTTAATGAGATGGATGTAGTTGTTTTTTCTCCACCAGCTGGTCAATGCGAGGAAGAGCTTTGCTGACAGCGCATCGAAAGTCATGTTCTGGCGTTCCAAGACGATTTCGGCTTTTCGATTTGATGGCCATCAAAGCCGAAAACCCTTGTTCGTACTCCCACGTAGATGGAAAAATCAATAGCTGGGAAACAGCGTGACGTACTAGGTTAGAATACGATGATGCCATGCTCAACCAGAAATTGATTGGACAACATTCCTTATGTTTTATTTTTGCTGCCTCATCAGTTTGAATGTCTATTAGTTCTTCTTGTTCCCCGGTCCCTACAGGCACATCAACCGGATCAATGAAAAATGGGTTGACGGAGTAAGCACAGTATGCAACATCAGGAAAGTAATTCAATAGCTCCGTCTTTAGTTGCGAAAGATGATCAATAATTTCTTTAGAAATGCCACCATCAGGATTTTTCTCAACAGAAGTGAGGCATTTGAACATTCCGTAGTTTTGATTGCTAACATTCCATGTCCAGAGGTCCAGCTTACGAATGAGTGCTCTAAGCTTTGAAATCTGTTACAGTCAGATTGGGTCCTTGAAACGACAGGTTAAAGTTGTTCAGAACTTCAAAAATGTCTGATAGATATGCCAATCTAGTAAGAAAATCTTTGCTCTCCAGGTCGTTTTGAAAATCGTGATTCTTCTCCTTGAAGAATTGCAGAAGCTCATGTCGCAGTTCAAACAGGCGCCTTGTTGCATTACCACGAGAGAGCCAGCGCACCTCCGTATAGAAGAGGAGACAGCTGTGGTTAGAACCGAGATCCTCACAAAGAAGTTTAAACAACCGAGTATTCAGATCAGATGTTTTGACGAAATTTACTAGTTTGATAACTCGGTTCAAGCATGATAACATGTTCTGAGGTAGCACTTTCGCGCATAGGGCGAATCTATGAATAAAACAATGAACAAAAGTCACGTTTTGCGCCACAGCCGTCACATGAGCTCTGAAGCCTGATTTATGTCCTAGCATTGATGGAGCTCCATCTGTTGTACAGCCAATCAACTTTCCCCAGTCCAGTTTATTCACTTTGAAAAAACTGTCTAATGCTTCGAAAATATCCTTTCCCTTTGTTGTACCTGAAAGTTCTTTGCTCATAAGTAATTCAGTTTTTACAGCCTTTTCTTGTGTATAACGAACATACACAAGTAACTGTGCGTTATTTGTTACGTCCGTCGACTCGTCCAATTGAATGAAAAAACCATACTCTGAATCTTTCACTCCTGAAATCACTTGCTCAGCAATATCGACTGACATCTCTTCTATTCTATTCTTAACCGTATTGTTGGAGAGGGGAACACTTACTAGCTTTGCAGCCGCCTCTTCACCAAGTACATTTTTTACTAACATCTTTGCAGCTGGCATAATGAGGCGCTCTCCAATGGTATGTGCTTTCTGATTTTTTGCTATCAGGAGAGCGACTTCATAGGATGCCTTGACAGCACACTTCTTTCTCTGATAAATTGTGCCAGTGTTGTCTAAGCGCTGTCGTTTCACTTGCTCGCCCAGTCGCTGAAAGAAACTCTCATTTCAATCCTTTTTTGTCGGGATGATTTGTGTCAAGATGTCGTTGGAGTAAGCTTGGTTTCATAGCCGAATTAGCAAGCGTTTTCATGCACACAACACATTGCGGCAAAACTTCTCCGTTGTGTTCAATAGCTATGAATCCGTACTTTATGTAAGCTGGACTGTAATTTCGTTTAGACATGTTGTCAATAGTTGAATTAAACAAAATTTCGCAATATTCACACACCGCAGGCTTTTGAAAGCAAGTACGAATAGCAACCGTACGTAGTCTGAGACGGCCGGTAAGTAGAGCGTTCCCGCCAAATATTTTGCTGACAGCATCGGTCAAAGGTCATGAAAGTTGGTAATTGGCGTTTGATCATCTTGAACAAAATAAGTGTTGCTTCATAAACGTGCGAAACCACAAATTAAAGGTAATTGAAACGCAACATTGCAAATTATTGAAAGTTGGTCGCGTACCACCTGAAAGACTCTCGCGTACCACAGGTGGTACGCGTACCACAGTTTGGGAATCGCTGCTCTAGAGAATTTAGTTTTCTACATCGATTCTTTGGAGTTAGGAAAATAGTGTATGACATTGGAAATAAAATGTTTTATTCGTATCATTCCTGTTTTAATTCCTGTTTCAGTCCCAGATTCATTCAAGCAGCGACCGATCACAATATAACGATCTTCAATCGCTGCTATGTGCAACACTACAGAGCGTTCTTCAGAAAGTGAAGCCGGAGCATGTTGCTTGTATGTTTATCATTTTTACTCAAAGTTTATTATATATTCAGTATCCAGTGTGATAAAGTCTGAACTCGAGTCACGAGTCGTTCACTGAGTGTCGCTGGCGGTTAGTTGATGACACTGAGCCATTGATAAATGGCGGCTCAAGTCCGACTTGTGTTAATAACTCTCTCGGCCACGGCCAGTGCTGCATTTATTCCTTGATATCGCTTGGAACTTAGGGTTAGTAAATTCGTCAAGTCAGATCCGAGACAAACACTCGGTGAGTAACTTGACGAAGAGTGACTTGAGTCAACCAAGCGAAATGACTCAAACTTGACTAACCACCAGAGAGACTTAGCTTGAGGCTCTTACGATAATTTTGAGTGAGCCTACGAAATAGAGAAAAAATTATTCTGGTGTAATAGAAGGTAAAAAAAATGAAAATTTTCTGTCTTTTGCCCAGTTTTGAGGTAAAAGTACTGGTAGTCAATACATACTAATTCATGGTTTGATTTTTGAACCCTATTTTGGTTTAACTCAATATAGAAGTTTCAAGTGTTGCTGTGACTCGTTTCATTTTTTTTTATGAAATCTACTATGAGTCGAAGCTACGGCAACCTGATATGAGACTGAATGTCCAGTGACGGGACTTGACTTTGGACTCAAAAGTTAAAAATTTCCGGGGTCTCTCAAAATATTTGTTCTAATGATTTTTCACAACTTTTACAGCTATTGCAGACAATGTTATGGGTTCCTTGCTGAGAATGTTGGGATCTGGATCAGGCGGAGTTCAAGAGGATACCATGATGGCTGTTGGAACTTTTGTGGAAGGTAGAATTGTCTTCATCTAAATTGGGTTTATCCAACATAACGTAATAACTGTACAACATATTTTATTGGCTTATCTTACAACTCTGGCTTCAGACACATCAACCCGACACATTTTGATTATTTCAATTTTTTGAGGGATTAAAAATAATCTGTAAATTTTACAGTTGTTGGAGACAAATTCGTCAATTATCTACCGGCATTCAAAGATTACTTGTTCTCTGCTCTGAGAAATCCTACCGAATATCAGGTATAGCTAATATATTTTAAATTGCTAGGTAGTCAATGGATTGTTTCCCTGACCCTTGACCCCAAAAAAAAAAATTCTACCTAAATTATTTTGAGATTACTTCCAGAATTTGGTTTGTGAAAACTGGTTTATATCTTAAGATCGTCATTTTGTCCTAAAATGTGAAGGCTTTTGCTCATAGCTCGAAAAGAATGTGGTTCCGCAATGGGACTTAAAGCCCAGATTGAGAAACTCTGGGATTAACTATGTGGTTTGCAGAATAATCCTTCTTGGGACCACTTGCTAATATTCAATCTCTCTTTTTATTTCAGGTTTGCATTGTTGCAGTCGGTGTAGTCGGCGACATTTGTCGTTCCATCGGGGCTCAAGTCCTACAATATTGTGACCAAATTATGACCCACCTTCTCGATGATTTATCTGACCCAACTGTCCATCGAACCGTGAAACCCCATATCCTGTCGGTGTTTGGTGACATTGCACTCGCTATCGGAGCAGAATTCAAGAAATATTTGGAAGTCGTATTACAGACTTTGCAACAAGCAGCTCAAGCCAGAGTGGATACAGTGAGTCATTTACGATAGAATTCACATATTTATCCCAGGGAAGAGGAAAACCGATAAGACGTCTAAATTGTATAGTGATCCATGGTCTCTTGTTCATTCACCAGTTCATGTTGGGTATGGAATTAGTCAGACAGCTCTTTGTTTTCGGAATTATGGACTTGGCGAGAAGTTCAGCAATTCTCTTGCTTCATAAAATGCTTATTCGCTCCGAACAAGGCCTTGTAGAAATATCCACCGATATCGAACAATATCTAGGAACCGGAATCTTTCTGATACTGCATTGTCTACCGGATTTATTACACCCTTGTTTAGCAAGGTATTTGAATTTGAGATGGTTATCTGCGTTGCGTCTATATGTATATTGCTTGAAATCTGGTATCCGATGTTTTCACATTACAGTTGTTTATGCCATCATGACAAACCAGTTCACTGGTATGTAGGCTAATGATCTCCACGTCAAGTTGAGGGAGATTTCTACTATGACTCCATATTCAAACAAGAATACAATTTTGTTGACACTTTTGATAATAATTCTTGCCAACCTAATTTTTTTGCCTTTGTGACTTGCCTTTTGACATTGGATTATAAATTACGAATCTCTGTTAGTACTATGGCTATTAAATATTCATCTTTCTATCTTATTTTCACCAGAGTGATTATGACATGGTAGATTACTTGAATGAACTCAGAGAAGGATGTCTTGAATCATATACTGGCATTATCCAAGGATTGAAAGGAGATCAAAAAGACCCACATCGTAAGTAGTTGGTTTTTGGGTTAGCTAGTAGTAGTAGTAAGTAAGTTTATTTCAACTCCATAATAAGCATCAAGGCGATACATGAATGATAAAAACGAATAGAAAAGCATGATTAAGGATGTTAGGAAAGCAATCAAGCACATTAAGTTTGAAACATACAAGCAAAATTTTTATAGATTATTGTAAAATAGAAGGGGCAAGTGTTAGCTCACCTGTACAAGAAAATAAAACACAAGGAAATGAAAATAGGCAATTCATGTGTGTTTTTCACAACTTGTTTTTATTAGAAAGATTTAGTACTTTCAGGCGCAACCTTTAACACCCATTTATTTTACTAATATTCTAATATTTTGTTTTCTTATTCTAACATATTTCTGAAATTTCAGCTGATGTATTACTAGTCAAGGACCACATCATGTTCATTCTGACTTTCGTTGAAGACATTGCCAACGATGAGGACCATAGTGATGGAGTCGTTGCTGCATCAAGCGGACTTCTTGGGTAGGTCCAATCAATTAATTCAGTTCTAAAATGGTCTAAATTTTCAACTTTTCATTATTTAAGTAACCAATTATCAAATAAGAATTTGTACTTAATTGGACATAAAATTATCCAAATTATTGGAAAAAATCGCTATTCGCCATGACAAAGAGACCAATCGATTTCACTTTATTAGTATCTAGGGACTGTAGAAATCTTCCAGAAGGCTATTACTTTTGTTTTTTTTATGTTTTTTTCTTTGAGTCCTAAGGTAACGATCAAAAATTCTGCTGTTTCATGTTAGTAAAAGGAGAACACTGTTCATTCTATATTGCTTGTCGCCGACAGCCTTTGTATTGCTTGTCAGGCTGATCTTTCTAGAAAACTCTGTATGTATTATCAGGTCTTACCGCACTATCACTGTCCACTGAAGCACAATTTTTATGTGTTTATATATAACGAGTAACTGGATTCAGAGCTTTTCAAAATGGATGTCCAGTATCTTGGCGTTGAATATTTAGAAGTGTAAGAAAATATTACATTTGTATGTTTTAAAAAAAATTGAGATTTTGGTAATACCAGAAAATCTGTTTTTAAGATTCATTACCACCATAATCATTTATCATAACCATAATGAGTGCATTTTTCGGGTTTATGACATCCTTTTTTTTTACTTTTTTCCAGTGATTTATGTACCGCTTTTGGTGGTCAGTTCGGTAATCATCTCTTGAAACTTATCGATTCGAAACCCAAGATTCTCGAGATGTTAACTGAAGGAAGGAGATCCAAGACAAGCAAAACAAAAAGCCTGGCTGTTTGGACCACGAAAGAACTCAGAAAACTTCGAAACAAGGCGTGACATGTCAATCCGAGGCACGACCTCGGCAATGTCAACAATAAATTTTGATAATGCGAGAGAGATTGTGTGAAGTCTGTAAGTATGGTATATTTTTCTCAGTTTTACAAAGCTATTTAAAATATCTTTATCAGTTACTAATCTATAATCTTGGCTTAATAACAAACAGGACCCAGGTGACAGACTTTTGGCATGTTTCCTTTGTAATCTGAGACGAAGTCGGGCTTTTGGGACTTCAGGAGTCAGGATTTCAGACTAGAATAAGTTTACAATGGAAATCAAAATTTTTTTAGATACTTAATAAAATTTAGTTGACTAATTTTGATTTCTCAGAGATGAGTCTTGTAGAAATTTCTATCAAGCTGGAGATAAAGTTTTTTCAAGCAAGATAGGAAATCATTTGTGAATTTCTTCATAGTTCTGATAAAAATGCAGTCATCTTCCATGTATGGAACAAGTCGATCAAAAGCTTGTGTTGAGCCATGCACATTTGCAGCCAGCTTACTATATTTTTAAATGGCATATTTTCAGTAACTCCTAAGCCAGGGTTTTGAAATGAAGTTATAATCCCATAATTTAAATTATTAAGTTTTGCTTGTTCTGTGCTATTTTAACAGAAAATGTTTTACTTTCAACAGTTTGTATGCTTTGTTCCTGAATCTCGTTTCTCTATCTCTCTACAAATCCCTTTACGGATATCTTCGAATGACTGCCCGTTACGACAGATGATGATCGATGAGTGTGCAATGTGATCGAGTGCGAGTGAGTGCTCCTGAATATCCCTCAAAGAGCGATAGAACATTGTGATACAAACGACCAACGCTGGTCTTCTGATTATTGCGCAATATTCCATATATGCTGTCCTAAAATAAGCTTCTTCAAACTATACAAGACATTCTGCTAAAATTAATAAATTACCGTTAAATAACTGTATTACGGCTTCTTTTCTGATCCCGAAAGCCTAATAAGGAAAAATAAGACTTAAGTCATGAGTTTTATTATATTATTCGATACAGCTCTATATTCCAAGTTGAATGACCAAAACTATTCCATATATTGATACTTATTTTTCGAATAGTTTTTAATTCAATCAAACTCAAAGTTTCATGTTCTTACCAGCGATGAATTTATGCCCATGTTCAGTTAATTCTTCCCAATGTTCCTGTGTGCATGCTGTGCCTTTTTATTATTTGCGATTTGATCAAACATGAAATGTAAATTTGTGTCGTGATCAGTATTTAAAGATGAACATATGAGACAAATATTTAACAAAAAAGAATTCGGTTGTATTTTTTTATCGTTTACAGCACCATGATATGGAATTTTGACTTGTAAAATTCTGGCTATTTCTAATTCTATATGTAATTCTTAAAATCAACCGTTTCGTATTCTGCCATCAATGCATTTTTGCCAAGCCTAAATGAGGTAAAAAGTATTTCTTCTAATAGAGCAATAGATATCCTACAATCTGTATTTTTCATCTTTGCCTACTTGATTGCGACACACTGGTATATTTCTGTGACTGATTTGAGACACTGTTGCCTGATGTTTGACTGTTATTTTTTGCTTCGATTTGAAAATGTGCTAAAAACCTACTCTTTTGCTAGAATTTTTTCTAGTTTAAGATGAGCAAAATGTTTTGGTTGAACTGTTATAAAATTTCTTGTGCTTTTTAAACAAAATCTTATTTTGCAAGTCTCCATATTTACCCGTCTACTTGTAAAAATTGATTCTGTTTCATTTACTAAACTACGCCCTTCAATCTGTCACATAATAATACATTGTGTTCATATGGACATAATGTTGTTTATATGATGAATTGATGACCGATTGGTACTGTAGGTTTGAGTTGATCATTATTTATCATTAATAAATAGTTAGCCTTTGAAGTGTCATGTTTTTGAGTGTCTTTGTAGGGAAATAAGTGATTTACTCTGGATTCCCGTGGTGGAGGTACCGGTATGCAGTCAAAAGTTTTCATCTAGCTCACTGTCTCAATCGAGTGTTGGGGGGAATAAAGTTGCCAGAAAAAATACTGGTTAAAAAATGGAATGCTTTTTCGATGGAAAGATTCATTCCAGTACTTGGTGATTAATTCACTATAACATAGCTGTTTTTTTATTATATCGACTCTAACTGCATCAATTGTTGCTCATAGCTTTGATGAGACTGCTAAACTTCCGCAATAGTATACATGACTTAGCTTTGAAAAGACTGAGCCCATTGAATTCTTTGTAAATCGCGCTACGGCTGTACATTCAGATATGATGGTTATAGCTTTGATTGTAATATTTTGGTGTGCATGGCAGAAAAAAAGTTGTTCAAGGGATGTTACAACAGTTTAGAGTCGTCCACGTCCATCAATTATGGCTTGGTAGGTACAATAATACTGGTATGGTTCGCCCTTGAGAACTACAGTCTGAGCGTTTGCTTGCACAGTATTTTCGACACCTTTGGAGGTCATCAGAGTTAGTTGCCACTTGCCACCCAATTCAATAAGCATAAAAAATAAATAACAGATTCGGTGTCAATCTATTAATACCTCTCATGTTTGTTTACTATATACAATATTTACATGTTTTATTATCAAAGCGAAAACTATGATATACGGTTCTTCCAACTGACCGAAATTCGCCACATATTAAATTTGAATTTTCAAATTATAAACTGCTTAGTGGAGCCCAGGTACTCTAATAAGATACAATTTATTTGGGTAACTTGTAAACTTATGGGTGAAGATAAGTTAATACAGAACATAACAGAGTTCCATTAAACATACACATACTAGTGTTATATAATCAGAAGCACGAGTTGGATCATCGAAACCAAAGTGACTATAGACTCACTATAGTTTATAGTCACTTTGATCGAAACAATACAGATTTTTGTTGTATACAAAATGCCTTTATTTGGACAAAGCCATTCGTGCAAATATTTTGGTGAAGTGTTGACTTAGTATAAATAAAGTAATATTAAATTCAATATAATCAATGCAGTCGATAATAAACTATAAATCAAGTGAATGAAGACTGACATAGACTGATAACCGAACAAGATGCCGTGGTTTGCCACGTGATTGACCCACCTAGGATAGGATAGGATAGGATAGGATTTACATATTTATCCCGGGGGAGAGGAAAGCCGATAAGACGGCTTATCCATATGGCGAACCACGGCCTCTCGTCCGGTTACCATTCCAAGTCGGGTATGGGATTAGTTTTACTGTATTGTTTGTTTTCGGAAGCATGGACTTGGTGGTGGAGGAAGCCGTAACCGACCAGCGGTTACGTGAACCACCCAACGACGGCGAGGAGTCCAGCAATCCTCTCGCACATAACCATCCCTGCATGCAGGCATGGGATTCGAACCTGCGAACCCACGCAGAGTAATTAGAGGTGCGGTGGCGAGCGTATTCCTAACGCTTAGCCCGTTGAGCCACACCGCCGCGACTTCCACCTTGTCGACTTCCCACCCTTCCGCGAGAATACGACAACTCATTGATTGTTTGGTATGAAAAATATGTAAATCCTACGATAGCAAAAATTTCAAGGGTCGTGTTATTCGGTTTCCCGCCTCCTTTTTGTGCATTGAGTTTTTCGATAAAACCGTTTTCGCGAACTGTCTGGTATACAATAACGTCACTCTCCCAATCTATATATTTGGCCTGATGTCTTACTAATAGCATTAACACATTGTTAGATCCTATATATGGAAATGTATATTATATTTTCATTTTAAAACATATGGTCGCGATCAGGGTTTTCGCGCAAAAATACTTCTCCGCTATCACAGCCGTGAAAAATAGCTCAGTGAATAAAAGCGGCACGTGTGGTGCCATAAGTGCATTGGTCGCGTGGTAATGGAAATGACTATTGAGCGCGTTTATTGTTGTATTGAGGACAGTATTTTAACGCAATATTCCATAATTTAAGTGACGAAATCTTAAATCCCTGTGAATTTTAACATTAGACATCGATTTCGTTGTTATTTACGTATCGCAAAATGTTTGCCTGGTTTTAGCAGTTTTATTATATTTTAACATGCCAGTGCCAGTGAAAATTTAGAAATACGAAACTAATCCCCAGAACCAGCTTTGGGCAAACAACAAAATTAAAAAGTAGGCTGGAGGTGGTGGTAACAGGGTGGAAAAAACAGTAAACATATTCTGATATTTGAGATTATCACGCAGATTAACTGTAACCTGGTAACATAAAAAATGTGAGGAAGGAAAAATAAAATATTTATAGAGAATGCAAAATGTAAAACTAAGAAACAAGGAAAGCAAACAAATACAAAATATCTATAACAAATGAAATTTTGAAGACTTATTTCTGTATATACCAAATGCAAAAAGGCTTAAGGCTTCCTTCTCAAAGTCCATGCAAATAAAAAATAACTAACTAATCTTATACCCGACATGGAATGGTAGCCAGACGAAAGGCCATGGTTCGCCATATGGTTTACTGTCTTCCTCTCTCCAGGGATAAATATGTAAATCCTATCCCAACTCAACAAATCATATTGCGTCTCACTCCAAAGGACATTTAAATCAGGGTTACAATTAAAAAAAGTTTCAAAGAAATTGTATAGTTCAGTAGTTCAGTGGGTTTTTCTCAGTTTTGGCTTACCATTATGGACTACAAAAATTCACACAAAATTTATATATCTGTATATACTATAACATTTTAATTCTTCTGCATGCTTATTCCTCGACATTTCTATCTTTATATTTCAGTATGGCACATTTCCATAATTTCAAGAATAGCCCTCACTTTAAAAGACCTATCGACACAAGCATGACGCTTTCTGACGCATATGCTGTCATGTCAGATTCCCTTGTTTCAGAGGCGCAAAGAGTGTTTGTTTTACTGAACCAAATGTTGGGACATCTTGGAATCTGAGAACTGTGCCTTGCTGTTTTTAGTTACCAACCTACAGCATGTTACATGAAAATTCATTCTGACAAATAATTATATATTTATTATTCAGTCTTATTCTGTAAAACAATAAACCACAAGTAAAGATGTCAGACTCCGAATCTGAACCAGAACAAACTATTGCTGAAGATGTTGTTGTCACCAAATATAAAATGGCTGGTGATATGGCCAACAGTAAGTATATATTACATTCTTCTTATCATTGTGATGATATACAGATTTTTGACCCATCCGCGTCCCATAGGTTTGTGGATGACACCCAATACATTTATCAGCATTGAAAGATTTACAGAATTTTAACCCCACATTATTTCAGAAGACGAAGTGGCATTCATCAGGGTCAAAATTAATTTTTTAATTTGCATTGTCTGATTTTCATACTTTAAATGGTGATAATAGTGGTCAAAATTTTTCACCGAAACCTAGTAAATATTTTACAACCTAGAGTAAAAGTCCGAACCAAAATTTTCCTTATCTGGAATCGGTGGTAAATGAATATAGACTCCACAACTCAAACATATCGTTATGGGATAAGAGGCAAATAAGGAACGACAACCTAGTTCAGTACACAGTATTTTAAAATCCATTGTAAAAATGTTTCACAATTTTTATGTGCTTTTTATAATACTTTTATAGAATCACATGTTTGTACGATTTTTTAACCGAAAATGTTAAATAATTCATAAAATCGAGCATTTACTATGTGACATATAAGTAGTACTTTTGTATTATTTTGCACATTCTCAAGGTATAAATTTTCGTTTCATAATCTTGTTTAAAAATTATAATCATCTATTGTCTCTTAGGCATATTGAAGAAACTTATCACAAAATGTGTAGAAGGAGCGAATGCTATTGAATTATGTAAAGACGGTGATAAGTTAATAGAAGATGAGACGTCAAAGGTTTTCAAGAAAGAAAAAGAAATGCTGAAAGGTGAGAAAAATATGACTGTCTGGAAAAGCAAAGAAAGATTGTTAATATATTAAAATGAATAATTTATTACTATTACCTCACTTTATGTATGTTTATGGTAATGTCAGCTTGTTTCTTTATATTTATTATAAAAAATGAAAAATTATAAAAAATTGTTTTTCTAATTAAAACTAACGAATATCAACAGCAATTTTCACACGACAATTTTCGGAAGAAATCCCTGAGCCCCAAGTCAGAAGTTGAATCGAAGCACTGAGTTGAGCATGAGTCTGAGCCATTTAATCGAGATACTCGAGTAACTTCGAGTCTCTGATAAACAATGCATCAAGTCGAGTCAATAACTCAAGTCTCCCTAATTCTGCTTGAAGGCAGTTGAATGAAATATTGTTTAATTCTTTGTCGTAGTCTCAGAAGTTTTTTTCAAGTATTGGTTTAAAGAGCTTATAAATCAAACTGACAAGAAAAATTATTTTAAAATGAGTAAATCACTCCAAGAAGCAGGTTTGGGGAGGCCCGAGTCATTGACTCTACTCGAGTTGGACTATACTCAAAATGACTTGAGTCATCTAAATCAAATAACTCTGACTCATACTCAACTAACCAGTGTGATTGACGCTACGTCGGAATTGGCTCGAGACTCTCATCTAACCACAACTTGCGCTCAGGGATTCCTAAAAAGGTCATATGACAAAACAACTTTTTTTCATTTGTAAATAAAATGGTAATGGTTATAATTTAAGCTTTCTTGGTCCTCAGAACAAGCATGATCATGGGATATTACCAATTCAATTTTATCCAAGCATGAATATTTATATTTTTTTGCAGTGGAAGTAGATCAACCAATTGTGTTTTTTATATCTTTTTCTCTAAAAATCATGTTATATTTCAGGTGTTGGATTCCCAACATGCATCTCTGTGAACAATTGCGTTTGTCATTATTCACCATTGAACAGCGAGAAAGAAATTTTTCTCAAGAATGGAGACATTGTTAAAATGTAAGTTTATTGTTGTTATGCTTGTCGCTGGAAATCACTTTCTCCACAACTAATGAAGCAATCAATGGTAATACTCACTAAAATGTTATTACCGTATTTATTCAATTATAACGCGCACTCGTGTATAACGCGCACCTTTAAATTTTGAATGAAAATTGGTATAAAATTCTTTTTTTTATTTTTTCTCTACTAACTACTGGTAAGCACATAAGGTAACAACTCACAGCATGAACAAAAATTTATTAAAAGCACACAGTAATTCAAAACTCTTCAAAATCGGATTCAGTCTCTGATTCACCAAACAACTGTTCGATTTCTGTTTGGGTTATGTTTAAATCAGTGTCCCAATCGGCGGGAACATCACTTTCAACCTCTTCTTCTGACCCTGATTTTGAATCCCACAACAAGTCGTCTTCTGTACCATCCATACTATTGCTAATGCCCGTCTTTAAAAAACTTTTGATGACCATTTCTTTTGGGATGTCCTCCCATGACGCCTTGACCCAGGATGTAACAAGACATAAACCAGGCTTCTTAAGATTTCCTCCAGCAGTCAACTCTTTGTCGTCGGTTTTCATCCAGGCAATCCATTTCTCCCGAATTCTGTCTTTGAAAGGTTTATTTAACACGACATCCAATGGCTGAAGAATAGAGGTTAGTCCACCTGGAATCACAGATTGAAAGGTGTTTAGAGTTTTAACCTTCGCCTTAACAGTGTCTGTCAAATGTGATCGGAACTGGTCCCATACGAGCATGGACTTTTTCTTCAATAGGGCACCTGGCCTAGCATCCCAAACTTTGTTGAGCCATAAAATGATCCCCTCCTCATCCATCCATCCTTTAGGATGACAGTGAATCACAACACCTGGCGGCAAATAAATATTCTCAACGCAGCGGGAATGTCAAACGCATGCTGAGCTGTCGCATGTGCGTGTGCTTGCACGAAATCGAACGCTTGCACGAATGTCAAACGCACGCTGAGCTGTCGCATGTGCGTGTGCTTGCACGAAATCGTCCTGCATTGGAATGTGCATGCGCGAGCGCACGCACGTTTCAGATGTTTAAAACCACATTTTCAATACCGCTTTTCTCAGACCTCGTGTATAACGCGCAGCATTGATTTTTGCCTAAAATTCAGTTCAAAATTTTGCGCGTTATAATCGAATAAATACGGTAGTTTTTTTCACAATTCCTCAGAATCCTATAAAACCTAAAATTTCAACCAAAATTTTTCTGTTATATTTTAATTTAATCATATTTGGCCATTGCTCGCATAGCAGGATTACTTTTCTTTTTCATTTCTATACAGTGATCTGGCAACCCACATTGATGGATTCATAGGATCTGTTGCTCACACATTAGTCGTTGGAAGCAGCAAAGACAATCCAGTTACTGGTCGGAAAGCTGATGTCATCATGGCAGCATATCTATGTTCTGAAGCAGCGTTAAGGATGGTGAAGCCAGGAAATAAAGTGAGTTTTATATTTATTCTTGAAGTACAGTTTCTTTAATAGCCTAAATTGTTTATTTATTGAAATTATTTAACACAAAGTGGGGTGCGACTAATGGACCGATTTCAAATTTCGATGCAAAAAATCTCTTACGGAATAGCGAGTACTGGTATATTTAAAACCTTTTTTTAGATTGTATTCCAACTTTTTCAGACAAAACAGTAGGCATATATAACTTAATCGAACAGTTCACTGTTATGGCAAAAGATAGACTATGATTAAATGAAAGCTTACAAATATACTTGCTATTTCATGGAAAGAGAATATATTTAGGTATATATTATCCTAGTTGTTTTTCATTATTAGAATGTTTTAAATAATTTGAATAATTTTAATTCATTCAATAATTATATTCCAATTACATTTAATATTTCTGGCAGTTACATATTCTTATTTTATAAAATTGTCTTTTCAGAACGCACAAGTTACAGGAATTATACAGACTGTGGCAGAATCTTTTGACTGTAAACCAGTAGAGGGGATGCTGTCACATCAACTTCAACAAAATAAAATAGACGGCGCTAAAACTATCATTCAAAATCCAACAGAAAAACAAAGGTACGATTAGAGACATTGAGATTAGAGCAATAAAAAGTGAAAAATGATCACGCACAACGAAATTCTGAGAATATAAAATGGATAATATTAGATATATTTATATTTATGAAAAGTTGTTATGTGATAACATGTGGATATGGGTGCCTTAAAAATGTCATGTCCCACTTGTCTCACACATACCACACTTGTCCTAATAGTACGAATCTAACTTTAAATGAATACTCTTATCTTTTTCGAAATTAATATATTTATCTGAACCCAGAATGTAGTGTAGTGAATCCCACTTCATATGCTTACTTTCAATTTTAACTATTTGCCCCACAATATATACCTACCCTAAATTGCGACAGTTTGACAAGTGTGGGAAGAAAAAGATACAAGGGGGAACAAGTGAAACATGAAATTTTTGAGACACCATGTGTGGTGTGATAATTATATAACCCCCCACCTCCAAAAAAATGGCAACCAGGGTATTGAATTTCTAATTATTGTAGAGATAGAGACATCGATTATTATGCTTCCACGTTCAAATTGTGTCATGATTACATATTCGTCTGTCATATATGATTTAAATAGAAATCATTTTCGACTTTATCTCGAAACCCCCAAGAAATTCAAAGTTTAATAATGAAACGTAGTAGGTGCTAGCCTTGTTTAATAGACTGTTGGAAACACTCAAAAAGATCAATATTTTTTAGTTAATGTGGACGATTTTGACTTGGTATTACCATTGAAAGTCTGAAATTTTGAGTCCACGGATGTTTAAAAATATGACTAAAAAGAGAAAAACAAGGCAAAAACAGTAAACTAATCTTCGAGTCTTTTGAGATTGTGAAAACCACTGCTGTAGATAAACATTATGCAGTTAAACAGAATTTCACTGTTAATTTTTCAATTGATGTCCTGAAATAGACAAGACCATGAAGAAGCAGAATTTGGTGTTCATGAAGTTTATGCAATCGACGTACTCGTAAGCACAGGAGATGGAAGACCACGTGAGATCGATACAAGAACCACTGTCTACAAACGTAATCCTGAAATTTTATACCAACTCAAAATGAAGACATCTCGAGGTAAATACTCACAAAATTTCCTAATTTTACATATTTTTAAAAAAAAAAAGAAATAAGGAGTGTTTTTTCTTGGCTTGTACATCATAATGCATACATGACTGGTAAGAATGAGACTACATAGTTTAGCCGTTAGTATGAACGGGGGTGTTCAAGGAGGGCCTGATACAAATAACTGGGTAAAACCGTGGGACGATCCTTTTTCAACATAGGCATTCTAGGAGTTGCATGCCTAAAAAGTTGGTTATTGATCTTATGAAATGCGTTGTTCACTTCGCACAAGCTCGCACAATTTGTGAGACGACCAAATTCTCTTGACCGTTGAAATTTAATATCTGTTTACTTGTCGTAATCAATTCTTCTAAGTTCATTTTTTCTTCCGTGTTTTTAGCTTTGTTTAGTGAAGTGGAGAAACGATTCGGAACAATGTGCTTCACGTTACGTGCTATTGAAGATGAAAAGAAAGGGAAACTGGGAGTCGTCGAATGCGTTAAACATGAACTATTAACACCATTTCCTGTACTATGGGAGAAAGAAGGTTTGTGGATTTTGACATTTGAATTTTAGGAACGTTTTCCTCGTATTTCCATTCACGGATAGTTCGATTAATTATTGAGGAAAGTATTTATTTATATATTTTTCTGATAAAGAAAACTAATAATAAGGTCATGTACTGCGGAAGTGGGCAAAATTTACAATCGAATTTTTAATTTTTTATACTTTTTTCTAACCTTTTTTTTTTATGTAAAACAGTTAAATGGGAGTAATAAACTGTTTATTAACTTTGCGTATCCATTTTTTACTTTTTTCAGGGGAATTTGTTGCTCAGTTCAAGTTCACTCTCCTGTTGATGCCAAACTCTCCTATTCGTATAACTTCTGGAGTTTTTGATCCAGAATGTTACAAGTCTGAATTCAGCGTTAAAGATCCAGAAATCTCGGTAAGTTTTGAACAACTTTTTTAGGAAGAACTATTCCTGTTTTGTTTTTTTGCAAACGTGACAGAGTTTTGATTAATTGTTGCGGAAGTGTAGGCCCTCACAGTACGTACCATTGCGCAGTTTTTGGCGTATATTGGCAATGGTTGAGCATTATTAAATACAAGGGTTCTCTTGGGGACAAGCAAAAAGAGGTGTTATGATACTCTCGCTGCGGATAGACTGTTTAGCGTTGTTCCACTTTATATATCGGAGTAAATTTTACTTTCGATATTTACTAAGTGGTAAATGAGAGAATAAAGTTTTAGAACCCTGGACTAATAAATATGTCTTGATTATGAATCCTATCTTTTTGTTACCACTAGACATTGCTCAATACCTCGACTAGCAAGCGAGCGGCTAAGAAGAAAAAGAAGAAGGCGGCTTCGAAAGCAGTACAACAAGCGACTGAAGAGGTTGCCGAGGCTTGAAGTTCGTTACCCACTTTTGTAAACACACACGCTTGAAGTAAACTGCCAGAGGTTCTTGATGAGTTTGCATGCTCCAAACCCCAAGTTCTGTGCATCAAATAAACAGCCTATTGGAGATTTTCCAGTTGAATATAGATGTGCACTAGTAACAGATGCTTGAACTAGTGTCAGTGTCATCTTTTTTTTTTTTGTTTATTTGGTTTTGTCGCTTGACGATTTTTATTTAGTAAGTTCAATCGAGACATCTGATTTAGTATCGGAATTTTATTGATTTTGAACTTTGATTTGATAAAGTTGTAGCTAGGGTGAAACAAAATCGAAAAATTTGTTAGTAAAGCTATTTTTTGTCAAGCTCTGAATTTGAATATATTTACAATTTCTGTGAAAATAGGTCGCTCTGACAGTTTGATAAATCAAAATTCATGTTGTTCAAAAAAGGTGTTTTTTCACAATTAAGGTTATTCGAATATCTAATTCCTTCTTTTTTTAAACTTAGGCAATTACGCATAGTGATTTGGGTTAAGTTTTGAAAATTCAAATTTGGCATCGTGGTGAAATAATTCAATTTTAATACATCAAATCGCAAGTCTAGAACATCCCGAATCAAAATACTGCAGTTTTTTACTTGTGATCAATTTGCAAAATTTTTACAACTTGACAAAAATTTAATTTTGTGTTGGTTGCCTTTAAGTTGCAACAGGTAAAATGATTTCTTGGTGTTTGTGTGCCTTTGAAAATGATCGTCTTTTGGGCGGATGATGAGAATAAACTTGGTATTTAATTGAATTTTTTGTCAATGTTGTCATACTTCGAAATGGTGAGCTATTTTACTGTTATCCGGCCTTCGTTGAACGAGTTCGTTGTGTATTTGAAAAGGCTGGCAGCAAGTCAACGAGCTTTAAGGAGATGAATTTCGAATACCAGCTGTTGAAAAAAGTGCCAATTGTACCAGATAACAAGGGGGTATTCTCTCTTGCGAAAATATTCCTAGTGATCGAAGCTCAATGGTATAGGACCAGGCTGAAAGTTCAAATGGGAATGATTAAGGTACAAACTCCATCAGCAAGGGGATTGCGGATGGACCCCGCGCCCCTATTTTTGGAAGACTGATAAAGTCTGTGGCTCATCGTGCTAAGCGTTAGTAATACGCTCGCCACCGCATCCCTGATTACTCTTCGTGGGTTGCAGGTTCGAATCCCAAGTTGGGATAGTTATGTGCGAGAGGATTGCTGGACTCCTCGCCGCCGTATGGTAGTTCACATAACCGCTGGTCGGTTCGCCATGGTCAAGCCGTCGTATCGGCTTTCCTCTCCCCCGGGATAAATATGTAAATCCTATCATAAAAACGCGTCCGCTTGTATTTTGTTAAAATCGCCGATTGTTTTCGTCAGCGCGACGTGCTATTTGGGTCGTAGACACCTTAATAACATCGGTATACTCCCTAAATCACAAATTTCTATCAACCTATGCATATGTTGTTCCATGAAGACGACGATAGGTACTACTTTTTGGTTCCCGCACGGAATTGTGAGTTTGTTGTGAAAAACGAGTTATTGCATTATAATCATCGGCGACGAGATGCTAAAAACCATAAAGGAGATAATCAACAACCCAAATTTTAGCGGCGTTGTAAAATACTAAAATTAAAACGAAGGGAAAAAACACAAGTTTTGTTTTAGGGAGGCCCGCGACAGATTAGAAATGTTTTTTAGACATTGAAAATCGCAAAATTTGGTGTGCCTACACACGCTATGTTAGGTTACGTTTGAAAATTTTAACCGTTTATCGGGAAATACGAATCGAAACACGATATAATCGAACGTTGCCACACATTTTTATCGCCGCCGTATTTTGGGATAGTAGTGCTTGTGGATTGAATAATTTGTGTAATTGCGAATTGTACTCCTCGGGGGATTTTACCGCAGACAGTTGGATTTTGAGGTGCAGTTCTTACCACTTCATGGCAGCTCCTGCCACGAACGAACCGCGGCAACTCTTGCCATGGTTTTATAGCGCTATTCAGTAATCAGTATTAACGGTATATTCACAAATTAATGTACCAGATTTTAATTGATCATGTGGAATTATATCATCTACTTAAACCCTAACCCTAACCCCAAATTCATCAAAACTGTATCCATAAGAAAAACAATCCAGCTCACCCAATATTCGTCACCATAAGGGACAGTCCTATCTTTACGGCCCACCTGCCGCGGTTACGGCAGCAAAATTTTACCTGCCATTGGTTTCCAATTTGCTGCGCGGTAACGGCAGCTCGACATTGGTTTGTGGCAGCTAAAAAGTCAGTCGCCATAGATTTGGCCGTAGCAGCCATGGTACGGAAATACCGCCATGGTTTTGCGGCAGCTGCAAACGACACAGAATACTTAACACTGCACTTGGAGATTTTTCTAACAACAGTATCCTATAAATCATGGCTACTCAACTATTTTTATCCAAGGTCCGCAAACAAAACTTCAAAATTATTTGGATCCGGTCTTTCCAGAAATTATATTTCGGCATCCTTAAACGAGCACTTCCTCGACCGACTAATGATTAGCAGCAAATTAAAATTGTTTATTATGGTGTTATAGTTCTTTTCGTATATATTCAAAACTATGAAAGTCATTTTATAATAGGAAATTCCAAAAGTGGGGCTAATGATCCAAAATAAATAACTAGGTGCGGACCAAATCCAATACTCGAAAGGTCCGGATTTGGACCGCGTTCCGCCAATTGAGTAGCCCCGCTATAAATGATCTTAGGTGGCAGTCAGCGCTAAAATAATAGCTCTACATATTGTCGTAGTATTTTAGAGCAGTAGTGCAATATTTTATTTTAAGTCCAGGCCAAGGCGAGTTACGACGAATACAATTAATGATTAATCATATTTTAGGATAACTATTCAATCAGATATACCTTTTGTCCTAACATCTCGTACCTAGGGTTTTGTTTTTTATCAATTATAAAAAACAGCCTGTTTTAAAACAAGGGCTTGTTTTTAATCGAATTTTTTCTGTATCTATTTAGTATTTTTTTTTTATTGAAATACCCCTTGCATCGCCGTGAAACTACGCCAAAATGTTGCGTTTTGGCAGCTGCACATGCTGCCTAATAATAATATCAAAAATTTAAGAAAAAATGCTTGTTAGACTTTCACTTTCATCACGTAATTTTATATCCATGTTAGCACCTACACCAAAGTCATACGATTTTAACATGAATTTTTATCCGAGATATCAGGAAGACGCTTTGAGTAAAAAAGACAAGGAAAATCATGAAACACAGCACACGGGCCTACTACGATCAAAATGCAAATGGATCAGGCGCCCGCCAGCTTGAGAAGGCGTGTATGGGCAACTCGTCGATATTTATGGTGTTTCGAGGGTTAACTGTAAAATAAAAGCAGCAATTGGCAGGTTATTGCATACATTGTTCTTGTTTTAGTTTTAACCTCTTCAATACAAAAAAATCAAATAATACAGTCATTTTAAACAAAACAGGGGAAAACTTGATTTGAAACAAATATTTTAAAACAACTCTTTTCGAACAATTTTCCTTTTCGTCATTTTTATGAGAGCAGAAACCATTGTCGAGTATCGAAACAGCTTTTTGTGCAACACTGCAGTAGCCTACTCGGTAACTTCTATATAGTGGTCATAATTTACCAGCCAGTCCATATATTATTTGGTACACCCTAGTAACCCAATTCATGTGGTACACCCTAGTGTTTGGTGCACCCAACGACCCAACTTCCCGTACCAGTGCGTAAATGTTTACGATATTATTCGAGATGGAAAAGGTATTAGGCCTACCATTGTTCATGGATCAGGTGATAACGAACGACCGAAGCTCAATAATCGTGAGCTCATTCATGAATATTACTATAAATACACAAAAACAGATTGTTTACTTGCCTTTAAGTATATTTTAGGGTAATTCTCTTTCTCCCAACAGCTTGTACCAATGCCCAAACCAAATACAATAGGATGCTAAAGGTAGTATTATTATTTATAAATAACCTACAAGATTTTACTATAAATACACAAAAACATATTTTTTTACTTGTCTTTAAGCATATTCCAGGTAAATGTTTAATCAGATAAGCCTTTGTTCTGACATCTTGTACCAGTGCGTGAATGTTTACGATATATATTCATATTACGAAATTAGCCATTGTTTATAAATAACGATCGCAGCGTATGAATATGTCAATATTTATACAATCATTAGCTTGTTTATGAATATTACTATAAATAGGCATGATTTTGCTGAGTTATCCTAAAATAATTGTTCAATGAAGTAAACTTATTTTACAATATTTACAGCGCATGCTGGCGATCATGCGAACTGCTTAATGTTAAACTCTAATTATGACATGTGTTTGATCAGTATCTGCCCTGTATGCTGTATATCGCCATATGTGAAATTGCGTTTCATGTCTTCGACAATTCACTCGACCAATTTAACATTAGCTTTGTCCCTTGTCCATCAGGTCCACTAGGTGTTCTACGAGCATCGACTTTTTTGTTTATTTTTCCATAATCAGCTAGTTATCGAAGGTGACGTTGGTGACGTGGCAATTTTAGCTGCCCTCCAATACTTTTTTTTACTCTGGCAGAGTTGAAGCGTGGTTTTAAACAATAAATCGCCTTTTACCCAGTAATCCGCCAGTTTTTACTCAAGTTTTTGAAATTGTCAATTAAATTGTCTTTTAATCCCCCAAGGAGATTTAGTTTAGTTGCAATAATTAAACTTTAGTTCTATCAAAGTTGCGATAAAATAGTAACATGAGAAAAATACACAAAAATCATTATTGGGAATTGGGAAACTTACGCAACTTTGGGCCGGTCGTTAATGAAAGTTCAATACATGTTTTCTTTCTATTTTTTTTGAGCAGAATTTCATTGTTAACGAGCATTTAATATGAAAGTTTGAACAAAAAACCTATCTGGGTAACATACAATAAAATCACGAAAATTATTTTGGAGGCAGAATAGGTGATTTTGTCCGTCTTTGGAGTTAGTTTAATGGATACTTTCTCATTAGATTTCTGATTCTAGTATTTTAAAAACAAATAAAAAGAAAATTACATTTTTATGTAACATATTTAATTAGTGAAATATAAAAAGAAACAGGTGGACATTTTTGATAAAATCAGACGATATACAACGATTGCTTTAATTATGATGTTAATACAACAAATTGAATGGTATATTGTGTTGCGTGATAGCATCTTTTGTGCTGTAAACTGATACTTGACTGTTAGAAAGCCAACAAAACTTAAGTCATTTTTTTTAACTAAATTATAGTTTCAGGTCACTAGGTGATGTACAGAGCAGGAAAGTAGACATTGGAGTGCATAAACCTTTATAGATGTAGCATGTAGGATGGGCACGTGCTATGGATATTTCCTCGACCCTTATCCCGAGAAAATTTATACCTATATACTTTATCATTGAAAATATTAGATGCCAATTTCAAATTGTTTACTTGTTTCAAAATTTTGATTCAGAATGTTAAAACACATGCTGTTCGGTATGAGTGCAAAAGAGTCTGTGGATGTTAAAATTTCAATTGTTACGTCACCATTGACATGTTGCCGATTGGCCAATATTACAGAAGTAAACAGGGAAGTCAATGCTCGGGTGAACCAACGATTAACATACCGGTTGAACCTCAACATTCACCACCGAGTGACCATGCATGAAACTGGTGATTGCCCTCTAAAAATAGTGGCCATGAGTACTGTGCTGCTGGTTTACCATAGTTCATGTAACCGCAAATCGTCCTTCTGTAACGCTATATTATAAAAACTTGAATGAAATAGCCCAACTACAAGAAAATGTAATTGTTAATAATATTACGGAAAAAGGAAATAAAACATACTACTGTAGCCTACTAGGCGCGGCGGTGCGGCTCATCGTGCTAAGCGTTAGAAATACGCTCGCCACCGCACCTCTAATTAATCTGCGTGGGTTCGCAGGTTCGAATCCCATGCAGGATGGTTATGTGCGAGAGGACTGCTGGACTCCTCGCCGCCGTAGGGCGGTTCACGTAACCGCTGGTCGGTTACGGCTTCCTCTATCATCAAGTCCATGCTTCCGAAACCAAATAACTAACTAATCCCATACCCGACATGGAATGGTAACCGAACGAGAGGCGTGGTTCGCCAAATGGTTAAATCGTCTTATCGACTTTCCTCTTCCCCGGGATAAATATGTAAATCCTTATCCTTATACATCTGGCAACACCCTTTTTATCCTGCACTCCACGTGGGTTTTTCACCAGAACGAAGTGAATGAGAAATGTTTAATGTTTGAACGCTGGCGACGATAATATCCGTTTAAATCTAGTAAGATTTATTGCAAGTAAGTGTTATAGGATAATTTTCTTCTCATACCTACGTATTGTTTTCAATTTTGTACCATTATCTTATGATTGGGAGGCCAAGTTGCAGTACTGTACCGGTACCGGTACCGGTACTGCTTGCGATGCAATCATAACACTGTAAAATACTGGCTGCTTTGGCCTGATACCGGTATGTTTAATAACTATGTACCCCTCGTACTGCCAATCCACACTTTTACATAAATTAGGCCTGTTACCGGTACCTTAACAATTACGATTCAATAATAATAGTAGTCTACCGGTATGCGATCAACTTTCGTGTGGATATGAATTAGAATTGAGCCAGTTAAAATGAATCTCCATCTGTCCCAGGGTTTAAATATGATTTTCATATGATGATTGGATGTCTTGAACACATACAGTGATAAGGTGTACCAGTACCGGTCCCATAGCTTTTAGTCTGGTTACCAGCCGTTGTAAGGTTTGGAAAAGTTAGCCAGTTATTTGTTTAAGATGCATGGACTAGCAGACTTATGTCAGTATCTTGTGTTGTGACTACTGGACTACTGGGCTAAATTGTAGTTAACTAAACTGATATACAATTACAGAATACTTGAATAGACTGATAGATGCATAATAACCCACATGTTTTTATCTTCATGTTGTTAGTTATCCAATCGGAAGCTTATTCATATGTTTCTAGTAATGTCTGAATGTAGTACATAGTAGACTATATTTCAGTATTTGCTTTTCAAACCTCAAGAAATGTTTTGGAATGATGTGGCAAATGAGTTTTATTTTCTAATATTTTCGCCAATTATATTTACATATTTCTAGACATAAATAAATTTTTCCTGTTGTTTTTGCCAATTTGTTCTTGTTAGTTCGCTTTTTTTTTTATTTACATTATAAATTGGCTATTATCATGTAATTTATTTTATCTAATAATTTGTCAGGTGCTGTGCTGATTATAGAGTTAAAATAAACTTTTATAAGTATTTCCTTTCCGAGTTTCTTATTTCCATTATTCGCAGATGTCTGTAATTATTTAATGTCAGACAACCTGTGTTTATATATTACTCGGCATAGGGCAGTAGGAAGATGAGCGTATTCATGTACCCAGTCGTATACCCATGTTTTTCGTACATTATGGTAACGCAATGGCGATTGGATTCCCCCAACCAACCCTAAACCTAAATATTGAAAAAGTGGAGTTTACGAGAGATAATTTTGTTTTGAAGAACGCAAAACTTCATACTCGCGAAACTACCCGCACAAAGTTGTGACTAAGACATGTTCAAGCCAAATTCTTTTATTCATGTTGTTTGGCTGCTGGCTCACCTTGACCAACAGTCCAATTTGCTGATTACTCCATTTTTTCAAATTTTAGTACAAATATAATAAGAACGTAGCAACTAAGTTAGGTTGACAATCTAATAGGCTACAACAGTATTTCCCAACTGAGAAGGAATCTCGTCTCAGAAGAATCAATTGTTGTAAATTTTACTTTATGTTCACATGTAATTTAATTATTATTTTTAATTTGTTAGTAATTCTTTAACACATATTTGTGCACATATTAAACCCAACAAATGGAAATGTAACGTAACAAAATTAATATTAGCATTTTTTAAAGTTGGAGAGAAGGAAGATTCGAAATTAGTCAAGATAGTAATAGTGTAAAAAAGTATGGAAGCAACTAATTTAATAGTTTTCAATAAAAGTTGTCAAATAATTCCCCTTGCATTTTACAATATTTTAGGACTTGAACATCATATATGTACGGAGACTCTTTATTTTTGCATGTTCTTTTACTATCAGTTGACAATTAAACTTTCTTGATCTGAGTAGAACTAACTAGAATTATGGCTGAACAAGCCAGACCAAAAGGACGTGCTCGTGGAAGAGCAAGAGGCACTGCGTTACTACCCGAAGGTGAAGTTTGATTTTGACCGTTAATTTGAATTTTTCCTTCTGAAAATCTAGGGCTATTATGGAATGAAATTGTGTGGACATGGATAGGGAGAATAATTGTTTTTATTGCAATGCAGGTTTATGTATTTCACTCCTACCAAGAATTTACATCCTGTAGTATTGTTAATTTTCATGTATTAGGTGAATAATTCTAAGTTATATTGATGGTTCTTTTATTTTGGCTGGTGTAACCCCTTTGGGGCATTTATAAATTGATGGATTGACATCCGAATTTGTCCTTCGTCCTCAAAATTTGAATGACTTTGTCATCTTCATGACACAACTACATGTTGGGATTTTTAAATCATTTTTTCTCTTCCATGATTTTTTTAAACAGCGGCTGCTGGGCCCAGAGGCGTGGAAAGAATGCCCCCACATCCTCCTGAAGCTGGAGAAGGTGTCCCAGGATCTGGGCGGGGTAGACAACGTGGGGCTATGAGGGCAAGAGAACCAGGTGAATTATTCCATTCAAATCGAAGAACAATTTGTAAGAATAATAAGTAATATGCGTCTCTAACATGTCGTGACTCATACTAGCCCCACTTTTAGTCAAAGTATTAAAAATATTCGAACCCAAAACAGCATAATCATGCTCATTCTGCTTGCTTTATTCATTTTCAATATATTGCAATATATATACCGTATATATGCTCGCGAATAGGCCGAGTTTAAAACTCAAAAAAAAAGTTGCCAAACTAAGGGACCGTCTTATTCGCGCATCAGAATTTAATCACGCAACGAGATGATATTATGCTGACTTGCCGATAATTCCAAAAGCTTCAAACCATACTCTTCAAGTTCTCACGATAAAAAGCGTGCACGCACACACACACTCGCTTGTGAAAGTGGATTGTCTTATCATACAGCTGATGGCAACAATCCCTTCCATTAATACAAATCACGACGCATGAAAAGCAATATAGACTTTATTAACATGAATTTACAAGTAAGAGTTACGAGTAAGAATCTACGGCTGTCGCTAACAAACAGAGATGATAAACTTTAGAAATATTGGTTTTACAGCAATTTTATTTTCTTTCTGCGCCTTAAGGCGTCTGGCGTGTTAAGATTCGTAGCTGGCGTGTTAAGATTCGTAGCGATTTATAAGAATGTGTTAATACAGCGTTATTACTTTCCTTGAAACGGACAAGGATCGAAATTAATCGGGAGGAAATTTTAGGGAGTCGGCCTATTCGCCATATAGGCGTAATTTCGAGTAAATACCGTATATCCCTAACTCAAAGCAGTGGCACAAGTGGGGATAACTCATCATTATTTGCCTTTTGCTGCAAACAATGTCCTTTTTCCATATCCACTGTTATCAAAGATAAGTTGAAGACTACTATTTTTAAAACGACTGGAATACTCCTACTTGGGCATTGCCTACACAATTCAATACACCACACCAGTGCTTCCCAAACTACGGGCCAAGTACAGCCAGGGTTGTCCAAAACGAATCGAATATTCGAATGTATTCGAATATCAGAGTATTCGAATACCTTTTCGGCTGATTTTCGAATAATTCCGAATAGTAGCCACTTTTCGCCGTAAACGTGGTGTTTCGTTTTACGGGAATCTTCAAACGACTTTTTACGCTGTCTCACGTATTGTAATGACGATGAAATACAATCGGCACTTTGTTTGTTTATATTCTGTGCGACCGTACGTCGCATAGTGTTGCGACACATTTGAGGAAGTATGTTAATTTTATTTCTATGTGGCCTGCTTATTATTATATCAATCATGATATTCAATCGCAGGTCGGTTATCGTTACTTTAAAAAGAAACACGGCCACCGAGATAAAGTGATTTGCGACCCTTTCGTTTTGCCGATTCAGCAGAACACGACAGGGACAGGAAAACACATCTGCGAAATAACCCGTGCACGTACAGTGTAGTACTTATCACATTCCAAAATTATTTCAACATTCGGGTTAATAGGTTGTCCAAAATGATTGCCGCTTTACAACTTATATTTACCGCTCAATTGTTAAAAATAGTTAATTCTGTGAGTATGATTCTACCAAACTAACATGATCTGGTTCTAAACATATAAAATTATTAGCGCGTATCAGCATAACTGAACAACAGGGACACAATTTTTCTACCCGTATTATTGGAGGCCTATATGAAAACCCCCTTTTTGAGTGCTAAAAATAGACATCGTCCTATTTGCCATGTGGACTTATTAGCCGGGAAATACGGTATTTATAGCCGGCAAATAATTTCTGGCAAATAATTTTGATAACGATAGTTAAAAGTATCGATCCTTTACCAGGATGATTTTTTGTTGCGCAAAATAATCCAATCCATGACTAGTACCAGCATTTAAAATGTCATGCCGTATTAATTTAATTTTGTTCAACGTAACTCATGGTTGTATCGACAATCTGTAGACATAAATTGTGTGGCAAACTTGCGATTAATATGAATTTTTGATTCCTATTTTCGTATCTACAAAATACAACGGCGATCTGTGGACTTAGAATGTGTGGTAAACTACCCGATTATGAATAGTTTTTGATTCCTATTTTCATATTTATAAAATAATAAAAGTATTATTACTCAAACAATCAAACATACAACGGCGATCTGCGGACTTAAAATGTGTGGTAAAGTTCCCGAATATAATTAATTTTTGATTCGTATTTTTGTACTCACGAAAAAATTGTCACGAGTGGAAAAATAACTCATACTTTATCCCGCTTTTTGGCAAATAATTTGGACAATGGTTGGTATTTAAAAGTATGGGCGTTTTACTAGGATGATTTTGTGTTGCGCAAATATTCAAATCCATCATCGATACCACTATTGCCGTATTAATTTAATTCTGTTAACATGACTCATGGTATTATACTGCAATAATCTGCAAATATGAAATGCCTGGTAATATAGCTAGGTTGTAACTTGTAGATAGCAGTGCTTATTGTAGGGAAATTCCTACATACATTTAGATAAGCTTCAATTAGTGGATTTTATTTTCGAAGTATTCGAAATTTCATATTCGAAAAAAATAATTTCGAATGTATTCGAAATAGTGAACTATTCGATATTGGCCATCCCTGAGTACAGCCTACGTAATGATTTAATAATTGTCCCCCAAACTCAAGTTTAACACTTTGGTATCTTAATTATAAGCACGGGTAGTAGTATTGGCATCCTGCGGGCTCTGCCGGCCCACTTCAAATTTTAGTCCCGCGTCATCAACTTTGGTAACATCTGCCCTACACCCACATTGAAGTAAATGATACTAATGTCCTGATCTTGCAGGTCCTCGGGGAGACGTAATCGCTGAAGCATCGAGAGGCATGGGCAGAATGACCGTGTCTGGAAGGGCACCTGTGATGTTGCTTGGGCCCAGACGCAACTTTGACCCATCTCTGTTCGATCCAGAGACTAAACCAGAGCACATTACTAACAAGAAAGGGTGCGATGGCATGACAGTCGACATATTAACGAATTATTTCAAACTGAATGCATCGAAACAGTGGTGTTTGTATCAGTACCGGTAAGTTAACTAACACAATGCTCCTCAATCTTTTTATCCCAATAGAACTCCTGATAAGTCAATGGGGCCTCAAGAAAAAATTCAATTATGCTTCTCCACTTTCATTTTTCTCGCAAACTTCTCAAGTTGTATCTCAAAGTTGTTCATAAAAATATCCACACTATTCAATCGATATCTGTTTATATTCCTAATAGTTGTATAGCAAAAAATGCTGTTTCACACTTATAAGTATTGGGAAATAGTTGTATTCCACTCGCAAATGAGTAACTCTCGTGAAACCCCCAATCTAGGGTTTCCTGAACTGGGGTCTGTAAACCCCTAGGGATTCGTGATGACGGCACAGGGGGTCCGCAACAATATTAGAAGAGCCTGATCGATCTTTAATGATTAATTTCAATCAAAAATCCATTGCATCTTATTGGTTGAGCATTGCGGACAAATATGAAAAGCATTTAAAATTTGATTGTTTTTTGCAACGACAGAGGCAGCATTTTCAGCTCTTACCAATATGATGGCAAAATACAAGTCGATACTTGCCGTAGAATCTGATCTGCGAGTTTGCTTGTCACAAATTGTTCTGAGAATCGATAAATTGTGCAGTGAAATGCAATCTCATCAATCACACTAATGTTGTTTGTGTTGTAAATGAGGATTATCCTTCCTAGTAAGTTAGGCACAGAAATTTACACGGATGGGGGTTCGTCAAAACTAAGATTCACAAATAGGGGTCTGCGGCCCATTGAGGTTCAATAAATTAGATAGGCTATTACTCGACAAATTTGCAAAAAACTGTTAAAATGCTTTCATTTTATAACCTTACTCTGTCAAGGAATACCCTGCTGTTTTTGTAATATTATTTGAAATATGTAAAATTATTTGAGTATTTTATTTTCAAGTGTGGACTATGAACCTGACGTTGATCACAGAGGGGCTCGTAAAGGAATGCTGCGGGATCATCAAGAACTGATCGGAAAAACTTTCATATTTGATGGAACAATGTTGTACACTCTACAACGCTTACCTGAAAAGGTAAGCATTTCTAATTGATTTTCCACTATTTTGTATCTTTGGAAAATCTCCATAGTTTGTTAGACCTTTACCTCTTCGGTTGTTTTCTTTTAGGATAGGATTTTCTTTTCTATCTCGGGTTAGAAGAAAAAGTAAAAACCAAAAGATAGCTTAATTATATTGGTAACCATGACCTGTCATTTGATCACCAATCTATGTTGGACATATGGAATAGCTAGCCATTCATTTTTCTTTCAATGTATTGATGAATGATGAAAGGAGCCTTCAGTCGGCATTTAGGAAACCATATCATTCAATCAGTATCTTTGTCATTATTGAAGTGTTGGTTGTTTTTAATTCATAAGTAAATTACTGTACTGTACCGTAATTAAGTAACTTATATTTTTATTCTTTTTTAAGAATTGTGGATTTCTAGTTTTAGTTGACTATTTTCTCTACTCGAATAATCCATTACTCTCGCTAATTTTTTTCCAGGTGAATGTTGTGCACTCTCAGCGAAAATTTGACCAGACAACGGTCAAGTTGACCATTGCTTTGACCAGTGAGCTGCCTCCTAATTCACCAATCTGCATTCAGCTTTACAACATCATATTCAGGGCGTAAGTCTTTATTCTATTTTTTAAAATTTGAACAGTTGTCACTTTTGAATAGTGATTCATATGAAGCAGTATGATTTATGTATCTTTTTACATTGGATGAGCTTTCGAGATAGAGTTAAGCTTGCTTTTACTGGATCCTTGGCTATTGTCTACTTTTCAAAACTACCCAGTACCCGCACAACGTTTTAATGGTGCAAATATAAATTAGGTTTACTATTATTACATTACATTCTATTACGGGATGTCTGCACACCCCAAGATCTTGTTATCGAAATTAGATTTTTACAGACTAAGCCGAAGTTTTCAACAACCTATCGTCAGAATGCTTTTTAATCCGGAATTGGAGTCTGTTGTAAATTCTCCCAAATTTCGTAGTGTTGGCATACTCCAGATTTTTCTGGTTTTTTAATCGTACATATTTCAGTAATAAGCATAATGAAAATATATAATATATTCAGTAATATGCAAACAATGAACATCTGATTGAAGATTTTTGAAGGGGATTTCGTTTTGACTGCATTGGAGACTAAACTATTTAAACTTTTTTATTGTTAATTAAGGGATGGAAATGTAGAAGAATCTAATATCATTACGGAAATCCAGTGTATATTAATAAAAGTTTTTTGTACAGAGCCCACGTTTTCACCCTCATCTCCTTAATTACAATATATTTATTAACCATTCCTAAACTTTTCTTAATTTTTTCAATCTCGGCATAGTATTACTCAGCTTCTAAACTTTTCTATCATTCCTAGCTTGTGTGATAAAAATTATAAACTTTTTTTTTTTTTTTGATTTAGAGTTCTTGCTAAGCTTGGCATGAAACAAGTCGGTCGTCATTACTATGACCCAGGTGCTGCCTTTTCAGTTGCATGTCGTCAAGTGACTTTTGAGCTGTGGCCGGGCTTCATAACGAGCATCTTGAAATACGAGAACAATGTGATGTTATGTGCAGAGGTTTCACATAAGGTGGGTGGGTAATGACGCAGGGGCTGCTATAAGTCAAATTCCACTAAATGCGTTCAAATTAAAGAAACGTTGAATTTTTTCAACACTAATCCCACTCGATCGCAATGCTACCTTTTTTTAAGTTATTAGGATTATAGTTAAGAAAATCCAGAGTTTTCTAAAAAAATTCCAAATCCAAAATACCTTCGCAAAAATCAGACAAAGAAGGGTGTTCACAGTTGGCACAAAAGAAAGGGGGTCAAGTTGACAAACTATTACACTGCGTTTTCAGTCTCAACAACACCTCATTGGCATTTGAAAATTTGGGGCGTGGTTTGCCTCTTATCGTATCGTTGCCGATGATTGCGCCCTGGACCCAGACTTCTCAGGGTGATAATCGAAATAGAATTTTTTTATATGAGCGCAACTTAAAAGGAAAATGAAGTTGACCAAACTTTTCTAAAGTCTATTATTGAAAAAGATATACATATTATGCAAAAGTTATCATAACAAAAATTTAGTTATCGGGACTGGAGTCATAATTGTAAATTCAATCAACCTAGTGCCAATCTCAGAGTCCTTTTTTAGGGCAATTTTATTTAAAAGCTAGAGTCAACTCTGAGGTAGGATTCTCTCTCTCTTTGACGCTCTCAGAGAGAGTCTGAGTCAATTGTAGATTTTACCAGGCTCCTGCTCAATACTAAAGAGAATGCTAAAATAATTGAGTCATTGTGAGTGGCGAGTTTGGGCCATCTTGCCATATTGAAAACACAAACTTAAATATAATCTTACGACTTGCAGTTGATGCGTAAGGACACTGTTCTTGATGTGATGAATGGATTGCTGAATGAATGCAGTAGAAGAGGAAGAAATTTCCACGAAGAATGCCAGAAGTTTCTAGTTGGACAAATTGTTCTCACCAGGTTAGAAATATAAATTTTTTTACCGTTCAAGTTCCCAATCAGTGGATTATGAGAAGTTGTAGGGGCCACAATGCTAGGCTCAAAACTGATTTTACTTTTTTCTTGCCAGTGAGACTTGTCGTTCTCCCTAGTAATATTGCTTGGTAAAGTTGTTTTACAGGGTGTTTTCACATAAATTGTTTGAAAATAATGAGATTTGGAATCGACCAATGAAAAGAATACTATAACTACCACTGGAATGATAAATATTGTGCCATGACTCATGGCCCATGAGTGCTAAAAGTCCGAGGAGGGGGCCACAAGCCACAATAATGGGAACCACTGCATTACTGGATAGTTGGATGCTACATAGTCGTACCGTTTTAATAGCTTATAATGTGTATATAAAGATGCATTAATGTGATACTGAATAAGAAAAAAAAGGGTAGTAATATACTACACACAAGTACAAGGTAAAAATTTACCATAGCATTGGTAAAGTTTTGCATTATGAATTAGTTGCTATTCATTCAGAAGCGTACAAATTCTTTTTTAATTTCAACATGTCCGCCATGTTTAATTCCATATCGATACTGCTAAATTGGTAATAAGTTTTCCGAATTCTATTAACTCCATAAAAAGGAAATTGGTACTTAATTCTTCACAGAGATTAATCAGTGGGGCATGTGATGTCGGCATATGCTTAAAGGGGGTTAAACGGGGAACTTGAGTCGAAAGCTCATTAGGGAGAAAAACTTGATTACTTAAAAAATTTTATCATCAGCCGAGTGTGTTTCGTGGATATCAAGAAATTTTACCACAAGAATAGACTTATCCTCTATAAATTAATTCCTGGGAAAAGAAAGATTATCAGTGTACCCCCTGTGGTAATCCATGCATGCTGTGAAAAATAATGATATCAAACATATTGTCTAATACCCTGATCTTAGTGTAATCATAGGGTATTATCTGGGATTATATAAGAGCAGATTAGCCAGGAAACAGATTTGTTAATCTGTGTTCGTTCACTGTGTGAATTTATTACATTTTTTCCTCAAATTTCGATATAAATACAATGTTCGTTGTATTGTGAATCTATATTTGCTGTTATGTGCATAAGGGTAGTTTAGGACTTGATATATTGCACTGCTGTTAGTTTCAATAGTAAGGTATCAATTTGACTGTTTTGATTCCTATAGTCTACTTCAAAATGATGGAAGATTCAAAAAAAAGGGTATGATGAAAAGTGTGAGTTTGTGTGGCAGTGGCCACTGAAATATAGATAGAATTAATAATAGTTCTCGTCTCATAACTCATTTATAAAAAGTAATTTGAGAAATTAAGTATTAACATGTTATTAAAGTATTTCTCTACTTTCTTTGGATATGATAGAATTTTCAATTTATTTGGAGAGAGGAAAGTTGATAACAGGGCCTCCTGTATGGTTAGAAAGCTATGTCGGTGTGACATATATTTTCATTTATTGTCAAACGAGAATATAATCCAGTATGTCCTAAATCAGGGTGGTCCAAGATTGGTAGCTCCGCGGGCCACAAAATTACTTTTGCATTGTTCGCGGGCCACAACAGTGCCAAGAACCTCACTCGTTTAACTCCGCTAGTTGCAACAGCAAGCCATGACACTAGTCAATTCAGTGACAATAGGGATGCGACAAAATTTTTGGGTTAATTTTATGACGAAACAATATGAAATGCGATTTTTGATTCCTCTCCGAATGCTAAGCGGGCCACAGATAATGAAGCGGCGGGCCACATGTGGCTCGCAGGCCTGGATTTGGACCATCCTGTCCTAAATGGAATCAACAGAAAACAATCAATCCTAACTTTTCAAATATAAACATTCTAAGCAAGATTCTTCTTTCACAGATACAACAACAATACTTATCGAGTGGATGGAATAGAATGGGATCTCAATGTCAGCATGAAGTTCAAGAAAGGAGAAGAGCAAATCTCGTACTTGCAATATTATCAGGACGTAAGTATGTTTCAAGGATTGTTTAAACGGCGGTGTGGAATCTGGTTTTGCAGTATTTCATTGACCTTAGGTTTAAATTTCAAATTAATCGGTCAAAATTTCAATTCCCGGAGTCAGAGTTGGAATTGTTGGACTTGATACATTTTTTCACAGAAACTCAATTTTTTGTTGACAAGGAATTCTTAATTAACTGCTCATTAGAGATGGCTTCTATATGCCGGATTTTTCCTCATGAATTCGTCAATGGAGTTTGAGTCCATTTTCCCTTCAGACTGGGTTGGAGTTGAAATTTCCAATACTTAAATTGCTAAAACGGAAATTTCCATTAAATATATGTTTGAAAAAATCTCAATACTTGAAAGAATTGACAGAATATATAACTGAACGCCGCTCCATAACCATATATTTCTCTTTAATAATTTCCCATGTCACAAACACATTTCTTAAAAATATTTTGGTTTTTTGTTTGCAACTTAGCACTACAACATCAAGGTGAATGACAAGCAGCAACCACTTCTTCTCTCTCGTCCGAAGAAACGAGAAGCTCGACGTGGTCTTGAAGTGATTCATCTCGTACCTGAGCTTTGCACTGTTACCGGACTTACTGATGAGGTAAGCTATGTGCTCTTGTTTTCATCTCGTGCGGGGCTGCCGAGTCTAGTTTGGCATGTCTTTACTGGACTCTTGAGTCATGTTTTCCATCTTCCTTGATACTTTCAATGATGATGAAAGAAGTTTTTTAAAAGTTACTAAGATTTCTCGACAGTCTATTAATTAAAGGAGGCTTGCGTATTCTAATGTTTTCAAACGGAATTTAAAATTTTATCCAGACTTCACAGCTGTTTTTGATGCTGTGATCTATAACATTTTATAGTCATTACAACCTTCGGATCAAGAATAATCAACTGCACAGATTTTTTATGCGTTGTGTACAATGGTAACCCCTGTGTATGCAAATTGAAAAATCCTCACTTTTATGGCTTGCATCCTTTATATATTGATAGCAAAAATCGAATATTTCGTTTTCTTCAGCTTCGTTCCGACTTTCATACCATGAAGGCATTGGCAGAGCATACCAAGCAAGGACCGACCAAGAGAGTTCAGGCTCTCTCCAATTTCATCAAACGCATTTCTGGGTACGTTTGATTTTCAACGACACATTCCCGAGTGTGCTTCGTCCATTAGACCTCATTTTTATACTAAATTTATTATTGTTCAATTCCTTAAATTTGTTATATGTATGAACGGGATAATGTCTCGTTATGTTGCTTATAAGTTAAATTACTTGCTGTTTGTGGGTCTTACTTTGTAGGATTAATAGGCCTAAATGAAAATTGCAAGTGGCAATTTTGGTATGTGGTAGTTATTTACGCACGACATTTGTACCTACCCACCTATTCAATTTTTTTTTTAGAAACAAGGAAGTAACTGAACATCTGAATCGCTGGGGTCTTCGCTTCGACAATGATCTAATTAGCTTGCAAGGAAGAACACTTCCTCCAGAAAAGATCATGTTTGGGAAGGTGATTCTTGTTTTAATATTTTTTTAATCATTTCTGAACAACTCAAATTTACATGAATGATATCCCACATTTTGCACAAATTATTTAAAATATATTGCTGTGATAACCTCGATTTGAATTTCGTTTTTTATATTTCTATTTATGAAATGTTAATTAGTCGACTTTCCAATAGTAATATTTTTCATTTTCAAACTAACTTATACTTTATTTCATTTATTCACAGCAAAAAATCTGTGATGGAGGGCCGCAGGCTTCTTGGGACAGCCAGTTTCGCAACTGCAAGCTATTGAGAACAGTTAACCTGGAATGTTGGCATCTTATTTGTACTGGAAACGATGAAGGAACGGCAAATAACCTCGTTCAAAAGATGATAAGTGTAAGGCGGTTTATTTGTATGAAAAATGTCCATGTCTAAACAAGATATTCATTCAAATATGATCATTCATTCAAATATGATCATGAGTCAATTATCGGATCTTGCGATTGGCAAATCAATTTGCAATTGCAATTGCTCGATGGATTTGGCAAATTTTGCGAACAAAAAAATAACAAGACCGCCAATTTTGAAGACTGCAAATTTTAATTCCGGATATCCTAGATATTCAAAATTTCTGAAGGTTTCTGTATATCTCTGAATGGCTCAAGCTATGCCTGGCTGACTTTGTTTTGCACTTAAAACTGTTATTTACAGATTTTTGTCAAACTATTTTTGCAGGTATCACAAGCAATGGACTTCAGGATGTCGCGTCCCAAATTTGTGACAATTCGTAGCGACAGGGTAGAAATATTTCGTTCTGCTATTCAAGATATTGCTTCGGAATCGAAAAACTGCCAGCTGGTATGTTGATCCCATTTTAGTAAAAGTAATGAATTTAGGATTCAAAGGGTTGGTCGTTGGCGTATCGTTCTTTCCTATCCTGTGAGATAAATATGAAAATCCTATTCCTATTCTGTTATAGAAGTCTTGGCACTCCAAAAGCGTGTGTACCAATATGGAGGTAACTAATTTTGTTCGCCTACTTTACATCAAGTTGTGTAAAGGTACTAAAACCTATGGGCAGAGGGATATTCACTCGGCTAACAAAGACAGTCACCGCACTCGTAATTGAACTAAAATCAGGAAAATCGGAATAAAGTTATTGCCTAACCAAAACCTGGCACGCACACTATCGGAGTGCCAAAGTCTTTGTTGTTTTCAAAATTTTGAACATCAACGATTGCAGCGATATCTTAATTTAACAATTTCACAGATTTGTTGTTTACTGCCGAGCAATCGAAAGGACAGATACGATCAAATTAAGAGACTTTGCTGCGTTGATTTGCCCGTACCAACCCAGGTGAATACTTTATCATATAACGAATTATTTTATTGTTTCTATTAATGAAATTTTTATAGAAGGTCATTTGTTTTAATGCATTTACTCGTTGTATACTGATGGTGGGTCAAAAGTCCCTAACATATAACAAAATGTCTTCACGTCTCTCATACGAACCTAAATTCAGAGATTCTATGGCATTTTTTTTATCGAATCGCAAAATCAGGTACAAATTTTTTGAAGTTGAAATAAACCGCAGTGTGGATTGAAACTTGCAATTCAGTTTTCAGAAGGAATCTAAAATGATATAAATTTTTAAAAATTGAAGAAATCACATCCTCTACTTTAGAAAATGTGATTTAACGGTCCAGCCTTTGTCGAATTGCAAGAGATAAAATAATTCTTAATGAAAAAAAAATTCTTGAATTTGGTACGCATGGGATTAAATACTGAATAAATAACTTTTGTTCTTGTTTCATTAAGGTTGTTCTTGCCAGGACCTTATCAAAGCCACAACGTGTGATGAGTATTGCTACGAAGATTGCTATTCAGATCAATTGTAAACTTGGGGGAGAGGCGTGGGCTGTTAATATACCGGTAAGTTTGAAGAAAGGATTCAAAACAAGCTTATTCAAACTTGGCCCTTGACCTCCGAGGGGGGGGGCCACAAGTAAGTGCCTTCTTTAGGCCTGCTCACTATGGCTGCAATTATTTAAAATAAATTGACTGACTTTTCAATTCTGACTGTAATGAAAATCCCATACCCACCACCTGACCCAGTGTAATAAATTAGCACGCAGTGCAGAACTGGAACGATTTTGGCCCTTCCAAACTAAATGGCTTGTTGCCTAGCAATAGCTGCTTGTGTAGACCCTTGTTCTGAGTGAAAGGTGTAAAATGTCAAGTATAAGTATCGAAAATATGGGTGCAATTTTTTATCACTAGTTGAATAACCACTTATGTTTATCCATCTCAACAGCTTAAAGGTTGCATGATAATCGGAATCGACACTTATCATGATTCTGCTCAGAAAGGCCAAAGTGTTGGAGGATTCATCGCCAGCATAAATCCCTCATTTACAAGGTAAGTCGCTGCTGTCTGTAGACAAAAATTGCTAGTGCTGGATTAACTCTTGCCCTGAGAGAAAGGAGATGATATCTGAGCAAAGATATGAACACTGAAGTGTTAAAGCTACTAACACTGATTTATATTGCCTCCATGGACAAATGTCGGGTGTCCTGAAGTACGTGCCCACAAGTACACCTAGTTGGCGTAGCATAATGATTTTTGCATTTAACATTCCTAACCACACCTACGTCGTCCAAAAATTATGTCATGATGATGTCACAATCACATCATAGCTTGCCAAAGTATAGCTGCGATCCTCCGAAATGGCATCTGTGCCGACTATAATGAACTCATTAACGCCAGTGATCTCTCTCTCATACAATATATATATAAGAGAATATATATATTTTTATTTTTTTCTCAGATGGTATTCCAACACTACTTTTCAACAAACTGGCACCGAAATGATTGATGGACTAAAAAGATGCTTCAGTGGTATGTCATAGTTTTTTTTCTTCACTTTATGATCTGTAGTTAGAGTGTAATAAATTGGATAGAAAATGTGGGATTGAAAACATTGCGTATACAGAGCTATGTTCAGAGCAAAATCATGAATGGGATATTATTATTATATTTGGAAGTGGCTTTCTTGGAAATTCATTAAGTTCTGTTACGACCTCTTACAGGAGCTTTGAAGAAATACCATCGTGACAATGGACAATTGCCTGGAAAGATATTCGTTTTTCGTGATGGAGTTGGAGACGGACAATTGGAAACCGTACGAGAGCACGAGGTGCCACAGATGTTGCAGTGTTTGGAATTGCCAGAAACTCCAGATTATAAGTATGTTACATATTGTTAAGCAGAAGTCCCGAAACCCAGAGTCACTTTGAGTCAAGTTAAGTTCAGTGTTCACCACTGAGTTAACTCTCATCTTCTCTTTGTTGATGACAGGTCTAAGTCACTTCGATTCCGTCCAAATAACTCAAGCCACATCGATTCTTTCAGGTCCAACTCAAGTTGAGTTAATTCTGTTATACACCAATCAAGATCATTGATGATGCTTGACTATCGCAATTATCACGGTGTGGATTGGTTGAAGTGTTTTGGAAGGAGCAAGACATTTCCAATTCTTATTCAGTTATCAATGTAAAAAATTATGTGTAATATGCTCAGCATTTTGGGAATTTGTTAAACATTACCAATTGTGTTGCACTCAGCGTTGGGTCTTACGAATATAAATATCACACAAAAAAATTCTTGTTTTCAGGCCCAATTTCGCATACATTGTGGTAAAGAAGAGAGTGAATGCACGTTTTTTCACCAAAGGGAGACAAGCTCTCGTCAACCCACCGCCAGGAACGATTATTGATGATGTCGTAACCAGACCAGAATGGTAAGAGGCGGTATTGGGTAAAAGTCCACAAACCAGAGTCGCAATCATGGGTCATCTGAGTCCCCAGGTCAATCACTTGAGTCTTGAGTAAGTAGTAATTTCTAATCCTCTAGTCACGAAGTTGAGTCAATCACTGATGTCTCACTGACGGTTAGTTGACGGAGAATTCCGAGTTATTTGCTTACACGACTCGAGTCTTTGATAAATGGTGACCTGAGTGCAACTCTAGTCAAGTCAATGACTCGAGCCTCACTAACACTCGCCAACATTCGTGAGAATCCTTCAATTTGTTTACCTGTGACAAATTATGAGCTGTAATTGTATGCATCTTCAGTTGTTTGCTAACGTCACTCTAGTGCAATTTGTTGTAGCTTGGTGCATTTAATTCAAGCCCAATAATATTGCACTGATGTGATGATAGGCACGATCGTCATCAAGTGCGTTAAGTTTCACTTCCACTTTAAATCAGGGGTGTGTACCGCGGGCCGAATGTGGCCCACGAGAAAAAATTGTGAGCCCTGCGGAAAAGTGCCAATTTTGAATGGTGTTCTGCCCGCGAAACGAGTTTTTGATTTAGTTTAATCTGGTATGTGAGATAGTTCAAATTCGATAAATATCTATGTCTATGATGTCACAATGCCTGACGGGTAGCTTGTTCGGAGCGATCAGCGTTAGTCGAAAGATCAATGACCAAAATCTTCGTACCTACAACCACCAGAAAGCCTATGTTATTTAAGGTGTGGCCTGCAGTTTAACCCAGTTATTTGCATGTGGCACTTCTTTTGACTTCAGATATGAAAATATGACTCCCACTGCAGCAAAGTTACGACGAACTCGACTTCACGAGCCATTATTTTATCACCACACCCTTGTCAGTCAGTTACCAGGTTGCATGACCTTGAAGCCTTAGGTAATGGTATCCTTTTTCCTATTTGGAAAACGTGAGAGACTAATACCATTTGCTTTTATAAGGTTATTCATAGATTAATCTTGGATGGATTACGAAATGTTGTAATAGCGTATAAAAAACGTAGGTGAATCAAGTCTGATCGACTCTATTTAAAATGGGTAAAAATTAGATAATTTCGTCAAATTTATTTTGTCACTTCATTTTCAGGTATGATTTCTTCGTTGTGAGCCAATCTGTTCGTGAAGGAACTGTGTCACCCACTCATTACAATGTGATATTTGACAAATCTGGCCTACAACCAAACCATATGCAAAGACTTGCGTATAAACTGTGCCATCTTTACTACAACTGGCCGGTAATTTTTTCAGAATTTTCAATTTTAACCATTTACGCGCCTTTCTGTGAACAGAGGTGCGTATCAACAGCCACTAATATGTAAGAAATTATCTCAAGTGGTGAAAATTTGAAATCATTTGGACTAATTTTTGAGAAGAAAAGCGATTTTTGTGACAACAATTTGCAAGAGTCCACTTTTTTAACCAGCATCTGTTTTTTTTTATTTACATCAAATATTTTAATCATGAAAAGTTTGTTCAATTATTGCTCAAAATATTTTGCCATTCCCTCAATTTTCGTTCTTGTTTCAGGGTACTGTTCGTGTCCCCGCTCCGTGCCTTTATGCTCACAAGCTGGCTTTCTTGGTTGGACAAAGCATTCACAAGCCACCTTCTCCGGCTCTCCAGGACAAATTATATTTCCTTTGAGGAAATGGTATACGTTGGTATAAGTTTCGGTTAAAGCTTTTTTTCTATCTATCATGTACACAGTTTCTTTCAAGTTCATTCCACAATTAATTTCCTTCAGCACGTTATGAAAAAGGGTGGATTTGGTGATCGGGAAGTTTTTTTCTCCGATGTTAGGTGAAATTTTTGGAACAAGGAATAATTTGGTGATTTTTGGATTTAAACTTCTTTTTTCTTTCAGTTTTTAGTGCACTGTTCCTATCTGACCACTGTTTCTTTCATAAGTTTTCAATAAATTGTAAAAATGCTCAAGTTGTGTTATGTTGGTGAATACCGTGGCCGTCCATGGGTTAATGTTGTGGATTTGCGCTTCATTGGTCTGTTATGAATATATGACTGTTGAATTGCGAGATATTATTACCCAAAGTCATGCTATGATACATTTGAGTAAAAAGAGTTCATATCCGTTTTCAATAATTGTTTGGTCGTTGTTTTGTGTGGGTCTGTATGCAAGACCAGGGGCATAGAGGGCTATGAAGGGCAGGTTTTCAAGAGTTTTGGGGGTATAAAAAGGTTTCAATCTGCGAAAAATTGCTATGTTCAATACTAAAAAATGCCCTTTTTTATTGCATTTCAAACTCTGTGGGGTGCTTGCTCCTAACCCATACGTCAGGGATTGGCAACCTTGTGTCACTCGCGGCCAAAATTAAGGGTTAAAAGTCATTGGCGGGCCGCACATATTTTTAGAAGGTTGAAAATCGAACGGATGATATTTTGTATAATAAAAATGAAATAGTTATAAATTCCTCGAATGGAATATAGATTTATTTCCTCATTGCATCTCAAAAAATGCCATTTGAATATTTTTTGCGTTTTGTTGCCACCCGTCTAATTATGGTTAAGTTATAGGCTCATCAAACGGGTAATTATGAATAATATACTTATATTAGGTATTAACATAATTTAATCCAAACGTGTCTCACTATAAATTCCGACAGTTTTGTTACTATAATTCAGTGAAGCGTCGCGGGCTGGATTATATTAATCCGTGAAGGCTGTATATTAGTTCCATTCAGATGCAGGATATGCAATAAAAAAAAGTGTGGCAATATACAGTGTATGAATCCCAATTTAAAGGCAATACTGCAATTTGAGATGTCGGCAGGTCCAGGGAATTATGTAGTTGCAAACGGTCTTTTGTTTTTGTAGTTTGATATCCGCTAAACAAGTACCAGTCTTGATATTCAACAATAAGATTTGGGGTGTCATAACAAAATCAGACCTCATAAATCAGTAAATTGTGTTCACAAACATGCAAAACTATTTGCTGTATACAAAATTTGGATGAGGCGTGCAGCAATATGTTCCATAGATGTTTTGTCTCTTGTAATGGGGCAAAATTGAGTTTGAAAACCTAGGAACAGGGCCATTTTTACACCGATCAATGCATGAACTTTGCAATTTCTAGTGCGCTTTCAACAAATGTGGGAGTTCGTGTTAATGGTGAAGCCGCAAATTGTTATCCTTTTTGCATCTTAAAATTCAATTCCTCAAAACTTGCATTGGCTGCAAGCAATACCTGTTTCTGAGATCAGAACAAGTATGTCATATTGTAGAAGCACGTAAAAAAAACTATAAAAATGAACTAATTAGGATGTTTTAGAGTTCAAAATTTGTCGTAATCTGTTATCTTTTCCAACAGTTTGCAATAGTTCCTGGACAAGTTAGTAATAACATATTTTAGAATAATTTGGGGATAATTTAATTTATCAAGCCAATCGTCAACTTTTTGGTGATTAGAGTTCAGAGCACAATATGCACATTTTGAAAGAGAGGTGTCATCCGCAAATAATGTGGAATGAAATGCAGGGAACATATTGTTGGTGTCCGCTCGAATATGACATGCTTTCGTTCGATTGCCATAATGATGTAGTTTTTTTTCACGAGAAATTGCTACAGTTATTTTTAATTGAATTTCACACTAAATTCCAAGCTGACTGTCCGTCGTTACTAAAAAAAAAAACAGACAGAAGCGGCCTAATAGGAAAGCCTGTGCCCAATAGTGAAAGCAGATATTTCGAAAACATGCAACGATTAAAATTGGTAGCAAAGTTCTAATTGCGATTGAATTTATTAGAAACATTTCAAAGTATTCCCAAGTAGTGTTGTGAGACTGTAAAACTGAAAGATTAATGGCTTTGCCTCGAATCCGATTGGCAATACTGAAGACCACTGTTGTCCAACATTGGCAGTGCCGGATGGATAGGTTCCAGAATTTTTAAGAAGGGAGGGTTCCAATAATCGGAATCGAAAATTCTCATGCAACGACTTCTGAGCAAGTCCCACTTTCATTCCACTTTTGCAGCTGATAACGATTTTTCGTTGCGTGAAATATTCAATTCATGTCCGATGCTAGCATTCAATCCAATTCGTTTATTACTCCAGACCGCTGCGGTTCATATAAAAATAACACAAACAAATGAACATTAGCAAAAACAAAACAATAAATACCTGATACGACAATCAGATTCACAGTAGATCTCAAAAAAGAGTTAATACCGTAATCTAAGAGGCCAAAAGTAAAGTATAGAATCCAAGATAGCCCGTCACAAACAATATATGGGAATCAAATGATGATTATAACAGGATGTTATTGGAGTTCCTGCATCTCGTCATAAACAACCACAACTTTTTTTTCTATGGAGTGCTTCAAAGAGGGAATGTTCCCAGATACCATTTTGTGTCGGACACTCAGATCTAAACACAGTGAATAACGCGATGAGCATTATTAAATTAAAGTTTAACTTTTTTATAATTATAAATATTGAAAAACAACCAGAGCTGGCAGTTATAAATAGTACAACATTACGTCCTAAATAAAAAAAAAATTCACAGTAGTGGAGTAATTGACAAATTTTTCAAAGTAGTTTGGGCTATAAAATAAATTGATTTATACTGTCGTTTCGAGTCAAGGTCATCTCTGAGATCATTGGATAGGAAAACACCAAAATATTTAGTGGACGAAACATATGTCAATACAGAATCACACATGGATTATACAAACGGCGTAACGAAGTAATTGTTCACACTATATAGAAATATTGAATCAATCAGATTATAAAATGTTATTTCTTAAAACTGCCCTCGTTGACTAATGAGTTGCTTAGTTTATTAGATATCATATATTGCTTTTTTGCTAAAAATGAATTCCAGTGCATAGTTACTTTTTAAATATGTCGAATATTTTAGTATCTCGTCCGTTGTCCCAATACCACAATTTCACATATATATTCATTTCCACGCAAGGCTGTATTCGGGAAAAAGCTCATTCTTCAGCTACCCCTGTCTGCTGCTTTCGAACATGTATACATTTTGTGTACTTATCTGAAATGCCCCATGATAACTATAAGTTTGTGAAACATAATCGCCGTTAAATCCTGATGAATTCCTTTTGAAAATAACACAATACCTTCTTGCGCAGCTGCTGTGTCATGGACGGGTGAAGAAACTCAAGAGTCGGCTTCTCTATGATCTGCGTCTTCTGTATTTATAGGAATAGTTACAATTTACAACTAATAAATCAGGTAGTGTTTAACGACTGAGAAATCACGAATTCCTCGATATGTTGCTGTTTCCTTGGTTTTGAAAAGTGCGACCACGAATTCTTTAGGCTCAGATCTATGTTTAAAAATATAAATAACGTGTAATAAACTGCTTGTCAAAATACAATTATGAAGGTGCTTTAGATTCATTTTATATTAAGCTTTCTAAAACAATGTTTCTCATTATCTACTCAAAAAGAAATAGCAGGTAAACATTCAATTTTGTTAATGTGCTTCGCACAATCCTTCACAGGATACACTCAAAATTTATTTATCTGCACAATCGATATGCTTTGGCGCCCTAATAACAGGATGTTGCTGCCGCGGGAATGCGATGTCAAAATGCCCATTAAACTCAACAATATCATTATCATAGTAACTTACCCAGATTAATAATAGTTCTTAAAATGAAATTTCACATGCCTTCAAGGTCATTTGTGATATATATTTTTTACCACTTGACAATTGACAACTTTCGAAAATATTTCATCTGATGATTTGAACGAAAGATATCAATCTGACGATGAAATCTATTAAAACAAAGTTAAATATTATCGAATATCAATTAAAATATATTTTAGTTATCTCCCAGAATTACCATATTTTCATAGTTTCAATGATTGTGAGACTGAGCACGCATTGCAGCACCATATCGCAGCGAGAACACATACTTGTACAAAAATGAAGTAAATTTATTAAACATTGTTTACCCATGAACGTCTGTTTGTGTATGATTATACCAGAAATTTACAGTAGTTTAGGACGCTTTGCACAAAAGTCATGTTCTCTCTAGAACAGGGGTCCGCAACTACTTTTTAGCGCGACCCAAAAAAAAATTCTAACTTCTCGCGACTCAAGCATTTGGTAAACATGTAATTAGTTATCGATTTTAAGACTATTGTCGACATTAGCATTTTTCTTGCACAAAATTATATGAAACTCATCACATAAAATTGTGAATAATAGCGTTTAATATGACTAATGCAAATTATAAGCTTTGTGTATAATACAAAACATATCAAATCGAGGTTTAATTTGGGAGAGGGCAAATCCATCCTCTATTTTTCTTTTATGTATAAAAACGTGATAGGCGGGAAAAATGTATTGGTTGATTTTTTTTTTTGGATCGGTTGATTCTATCGTCAAAATGAACTCTACCATATTGCGACCAAATTACATGCGGTATACTGGTCGAGTATGCCAATGAGAGGATTCTAACAATCATTTCATTATTCAGCCCAAACAACTCAAAACGATGGCTACTTGTCAGTTTCGATTATGCATATTATTTCTGATGCTATTTGTGACTCAAATAAGCTGCAATCAGTGTACCAGTTCTTCGCCTGTTGACATTGATTGGGATAAGGTAATAGGGAAATCTTTTTTATAATTGATGGATATTTCAAACTGCTGTTGAATGTAAACATCGCACAAAAATGGACTCAATTGATTTTGATCATTATGTACTATGCGAGTGCTATGTATGTGGAATGTGGGACATGGGGCACAGTGGGAAATCAGCTTTCACACTCGTTCTATATCCGAAATCCGGTCTGAGGTTCGATGTTGGAATCCGTATTTCGGTGAGTTACAACATCCCCGCAAACGGACAACGGCCGTGTAGAGCGATGCAAGCTATCAGATGAAATTGGTTATGGGGGGTTGAAACTAAAATTTCACAATTCCATATTTTCTTTATTCTACTTTAGC